GCTAAGCGAGCGCTCTACCATTTGAGCTACATCCCCCATCTCTCTTTCACGTAAGCTACTGTTACACAAGACATAACAAAAAAATTGGTTGCATCCATACAAAAGCTTCATCAATCTGTCCTACATCTTGTTCAAAACGTTACATCCATTGTCAAAAACATTGCATCCATTACCACTGTTGCCTTATCTATCAGCAGAAAAAATTTCAGCCGATTCCGACAACTCTTCATTTTTGCGATCTCAAATGTCAACATTGCTGCCATCCTCTGTCATGCAGGGAATGTCACCCGATCTCGCCTCATTTCTGGGGAACATGCAGGCCCAATTCATGTCACTACAACAACGTACCAATGAACTTGAATCTCTTGCTGCAACTAATGCTAGATTAACTGCTCAATTAGTTAATGCGGAAAAGCTAATTGCTGATCTCAGATCTCAATTAGCATCTCAGGGCAATTGCCAAATTACAACAAATGCATCAACATCATCTGCACCAACCACACCCAAGGAGCCTGGCACTGAGGCTTCTACATGGGCTACAACTGCTGCTGCTGCTCACAACTCTGTTGTTGTTCCTACTGCTCTTTCTGTTTGCAAGACTCCAAGACCTCCTTCTGTTCGCCAGGTTGCTGCTTCTGCTAGAATGTTTGCCATTCCCACTGGTCCCAAAGGATATCAATATGTGTATATCCCACGTTCACGTCGTCTCACACATAGAGAAGTGCGCAACTCTTTGAAAACACTTGGTGTTGATACTGGCCGCATCTTGGATATCAATTTTCCTGCCAAGGATGTAGTTGGCATCCTAGTTCACAACCAGTATGCTGAGAAATTCCAGACCACTCTGACCACAGTTGCCATTGAGATCTTAGATGCGTTTGACCCTTTGGATCCCAAAAACATTGCAGATCCCAAATATAAGTCTCTTTCTGATTCAGAGCTAGAAGAAGTTGCTGCTGAACTTCATTCTGATCGTTGTATGAAGGCTCTCAAGTACCTTCGTCCTCATGTTGCTGTTCCTGTTGGTCATTTCTTTTGTGATCAAGGCTGGATCTCTAAGGAAGATATTCCTGTCCATTCTGTTTCTGGTCCTGGTGCTGGTATTCATGATTTCCAATCACCATCTCGTCGTACCTCTGTTGCAATGTCTGAATGAGTGAAATCTCATTAGGACTTTGGAATGCTAATGGTCTGCAGCCTCGTGCAATTTATGATGTTCTTCAACACTGTCACTCTCTACATATGCTTTTTATCACTGAAACATGGCTTCTTCCCCCATCTCGTCTCCCCACTTCTTGGTCCCAGATTCATCTTTATGGTTCACCTGTAGCTGGCAGCTACAGAGGTTCTATGGGTGTTTCTGTTCTTATTTCTCCATCTTGTCCTTATCCTGTCACTCAGATTCCTATGTCATCTAATTATGCTTTAGCCATCAAGATTGGTTCCCTCAGAATTGTATGCCTGTACTTACCGCCCTCTATGTCCACCCATGATGCTCTTGCAGTTCTCTCATCCATTCCTTTGACCAATGACACTATTATCTGCGGCGATCTTAATTCACGTTTGGGTTCACTTACTGGTGACTATGCTACTAACACTCGAGGTCTTGCTCTTTGTCAATGGTTAGAAGAACGTGCTCTTACTGTTGTCAATGGCCAGCTCTCACCATGCATACCTACATTCATTTCATTCCGCCAAAATGTGGAGATAAGCAGTATCATTGATCTGTTTATCACTAATATGTCCCTCACCAATGCCACTCTCAACATTCATACCGACCTCTCACTCAACTCTGACCACCGTCTGCTTTCACTTTCATTTACATATGCCATCAATCCAACATCACATGCACCACCACCATCTCGCAAAACATGGAACCTCTCACGTCTTCAAGAACCTGATGTTCTCAAACTATATGCCCACACATTTGTCACTAATTCCACCAACCTCAAATCCACTTTGCAATCGACCTTCGAACACCCTCCTTCCTCACGTCCACCAATTGATGCACTAACTGATGAATTCAACTCACTCATTTATAATTCTTTAAGTAGCTCAATTGGCAACCGTCCTCCCCGTCCTTCCCACTGGAAAAAATTCTGGAATCCAGTACTTCAAGCAGCTGCAGAGCACCGCAATTTCTGCTACAAGAAATGGCGCCGTGCATGTGGTATAGACAGAATTCATTGGTGGGATAAGCATCTCAAAGCGCAGGCAGAATTCCAACATCAAGTGCAATCATCTAAGCGCCAATCATGGCATGCTTTCTGCAAATCAATGGAACAAGACTTTTCCAAAGCAACATCAAAGATCAAGCTACTCAAACGCCGACGGCAGCCTCAGCACATGTTTCAACATAGTGATGGACCAGCAACAGCAGCAACAATTATGTGTGAGCATCTTGCATCTGTATACAGTGGCAGTATCCTCCCAGATCAGCGTCCTCCTCCTCCTCTTCACAGTACTAGTCTGCCTTTTGCCTCTGCCAACTCGCCATTTGTTTCTTCAGTGGTAGAGGGATGCATGCAATTTATGCCTAACCGCAAGGCACCAGGCCCAGATCACATCAGAGCAGAAATGTTGAAAGTAATTCGACCACAAATTGCTCCACTACTCTCACTCTTGTTCACCATCTGTTGGCAATGGTCATATGTACCTGTTATTTGGCGTCAGGCTCAAGTTTTTCCCATTTACAAAAAGGGAGATCCATCAATTGCTGCTAACTATCGACCTATTTCACTAACTTCTGTTGTGCGGAAACTGATGGAAATGTGTATTTCTCCAGTGCTTCACAAGTTTTCCCCTCCTCTGGATGTTGCTCAGGGTGGTTTCCGTCCTAGACGTGGTGCCATGGACCAAGCTCTCTGTCTGCATGACCTCATGAAAGCACACTTCCACCGCCATCACCATTATCCTGTTGTTGCATTCTTAGACATAAAGGCAGCTTATGATACAGTAGACCGACGAGTCATTTGGGATGCTCTTGCTAGACGTCACACACCACCAGCTTTACTTGGACTTCTTGTCAATATGTTTGATAATGTCTCTATATCTGTTCTTCTTGGCAACTTCTCTTCTCATTCTTTTTCTCCCACCACAGGCGTCCTTCAAGGTTCCGTTCTCAGTCCACATTTGTATTCAATCTATATCAACTCCCTGCCACCAATACTCCGCACAGTTGCATCACCACTCACCTCAACACATATCCCATCAACCTCTCCTTCCTCATTGGATGCTTACAATTCTCTTCTTGCCCCATCAGATGTGAATGACTTTCAACACATTCACTTGCCTACTGCCATTAACAGTCTTCTTTTTGCTGATGATGTTGCTATCTTTGGCTCTGTCACTGATGTTCAGAGTATGCTTGACCTTGCTGCCCAACACTCCTTCCAGCTTGGCTACCGTTGGAGTCCTTCAAAATGTGCTGTACTCTATCCTCCTTCACGATCTTTACCACGTTCTACTATCTCTCTGTATGGCGAGTTGCTTCCTGCAGTAAATGAGTTTATATACTTGGGTATACCTTTCTGTAACAAAGGCATCTTTGGACCGTCTGTTGTCACTCATCGTCGTTCTGGAGCATTGGCTGCTATGGCAACTCTTACTGCTGTTGGTGCATGTAGATCTGGTTTCAGTTTGCTCTTAAGTTCACGTCTGTTCAAAACCTTTATACGACCAAAATTCGAGTATGGTCTTGCAATCACATGTCTTTTGCAAAAAGATGTTTTACTTCTAGAGAAAATTCAAGATAAATGCTTGCGAATGATTGTTGGTGGCCATGCAACTTCATCTACTGCAGTCTTGAAACATATCTGCAACCTGCCCAGTATGGCTTTTCGCGTTGACATTCTCAAAACAAAATTTTGTCTTCGGGCACACACTCTTCCTTCTGGTTGTCTTCTCTCTCTGCTCCATTCTCATCATCTCCAAGCATCAACACTATCCACTCTTCACACAAACCCTCTTTTTGCCAGCATTCCCCCTGATCTTAATTGCTCCAGCCGCATAAAACTATCCAAGCACTTTGAGTCTTTTAGACAAGAAAAGTTTGCTCACTTTCGTCTCACCAACACTAAGATTCTCATCCAAGCTTGCCGCCCTCTTCTTGAAGTTGATCCTGTATTGTTTCTTCCTGCTACACGCATAGAACGTGGCCGTCTAGTACGTTGGAGAATGGGCTGGTTGCCTGGTAAGCCAAAGGAGTGTGCATGTGGCTTTGATCATACTTCAAGACGCCATCTCCAATTCTGCATCACAATCCCATCTCAGCTGTTCTCTCAACTTCCAGCACCACCCACAGATGAAGACAACATCATTGACTTTGCTATATCAGCACTACCAATCTCGTCTACACATCCAAGCCCTCTATATTGGAAAGCTCTTCTTACAATACTATGGCATATTGACATGCTATGCAATCCTAATGGCAACTACACACATGAAACCGATCATGGTTCTCTCTGGCACTAGCTCTAATAATTTAATATCTGTTTTCTTTTACTTCTTTTCTTCTTATTTTTGTCTTCTCATTCATGAAAGGTTTCTAGATCTGCAATTCTGTCTCCTCCCTTTCACTGTTACAACTTTTTACACAGCTGCAAAGTGGAGAGCAGGTTCAGTCTTTTAGCTTAGTATTGTTTATTTCTCTTCTTCTATTCATTTTTTTGTCTTTTGTGATCCTTTTGGACTTTTTTTTTTCTTTTTCTTTTGTACTTGGGAGGCTATATGATCTATAGATCGCCAGCGATATCTCCTTAATAAAAATAATCTTTAACCTGAGCTACATCCCCATCTCTCTTTCACGTAAGCTACTGTTACACAAGACATAACAAAAAAATTGGTTGCATCCATACAAAAGCTTCATCAATCCGTCCTACATCTTGTTCAAAACGTTACATCCATTGTCAAAAACATTGCATCCATTACCACTGTTGCCTTATCTATCAGCAGAAAAAATTTCAGCCGATTCCGACAACTCTTCATTTTTGCGATCTCAAATGTCAACATTGCTGCCATCCTCTGTCATGCAGGGAATGTCACCCGATCTCGCCTCATTTCTGGGGAACATGCAGGCCCAATTCATGTCACTACAACAACGTACCAATGAACTTGAATCTCTTGCTGCAACTAATGCTAGATTAACTGCTCAATTAGTTAATGCGGAAAAGCTAATTGCTGATCTCAGATCTCAATTAGCATCTCAGGGCAATTGCCAAATTACAACAAATGCATCAACATCATCTGCACCAATCACACCCAAGGAGCCTGGCACTGAGGCTTCTACATGGGCTACAACTGCTGCTGCTGCTCACAACTCTGTTGTTGTTCCTACTGCTCTTTCTGTTCGCAAGACTCCAAGACCTCCTTCTGTTCACCGGGTTGCTGCTTCTGCTAGAATGTTTGCCATTCCCACTGGTCCCAAAGGATATCAATATGTGTATATCCCACGTTCACGTCGTCTCACACATAGAGAAGTGCGCAGCTCTTTGAAAACACTTGGTGTTGATACTGGCCGCATCTTGGATATCAATTTTCCTGTCAAGAATGTAGTTGGCATCCTAGTTCACAACCAGTATGCTGAGAAATTCCAGACCACTCTGACCACAGTTGCCATTGAGATCTTAGATGCGTTTGACCCTTTGGATCCCAAAAACATTGCAGATCCCAAATATAAGTCTCTTTCTGATTCAGAGCTAGAAGAAGTTGCTGCTGAACTTCATTCTGATTGTTGTCTGAAGGCTCTCAAGTACCTTCATCCTCATGTTGCTGTTCCTGTTGGTCATTTCTTTTGTGATCAAGGCTGGATCTCTAAGGAAGATATTCCTGTTCATTCTGTTTCTGGTCCTGGTGCTGGTATTCATGATTTCCAATCACCATCTCGTCGTACCTCTGTTGCAATGTCTGAATGAGTGAAATCTCATTAGGAATTTGGAATGCTAATGGTCTGCAGCCTCGTGCAATTTATGATGTTCTTCAACACTGTCACTCTCTACATATGCTTTTTATCACTGAAACATAGCTTCTCCCCCCATCTCGTCTTCCCACTTCTTGGTCCCAGATTCATCTTTATGGTTCACCTGTAGCTGGCAGCTACAGAGGTTCTATGGGTGTTTCTGTTCTTATTTCTCCATCCTGTCCTTATCCTGTCACTCAGATTCCTATGTCATCTAATTATGCTTTGGCCATCAAGATTGGTTCCCTCAGAATTGTATGCCTGTACTTACCGCCCTCTATGTTCACCCATGATGCTCTTGCAGTTCTCTCATCCATTCCTTTGACCAATGACACTATTATATGTGGCGATTTTAATTCACGTTTGGGTTCACTTACTGGTGACTATGCTACTAACACTTGAGGTCTTGCTCTTTGTCAATGGTTAGAAGAACGTGCTCTTACTGTTGTCAATGACCAGCTCTCACTATGCACACCTACATTCATTTCATTCCGCCAAAATGTGAAGATAAGCAGTATCATTGATCTGTTTATCACTAATACGTCTCTCACCAATGCCACTCTCAACATTCATACCGACCTCTCACTCAACTCTGATCACCGTCTGCTTTCACTTTCATTTACATATGCCATCAATTCAACATCACATGCACCACCACCATCTTGCAAAACATGTAACCTCTCACGTCTTCAAGAACCTGATGTTCTCAAACTATATGCCTACACATTTGTCACTAATTTCACCAACCTCAAATCCACTTTGCAATCAACCTTCGAACACCCTCCTTCCTCACGTCCACCAATTGATGCACTAACTGATGAATTCAACTCACTCATTTATAATTCTTTAAGTAGCTCAATTGGCAACCGTCCTCCCCGTCCTTCCCACTAGAAAAAATTCTGGAATTCAGTACTTCAAGCAGCTGCAGAGCACCATAATTTCTGCTACAAGAAATGGCGCCATGCATGTGGTATAGACAGAATTCATTGGTGGGATAAGCATCTCAAAGCGCAGGCAGAATTCCGACATCAAGTGCAATCATCTAAGCGCCAATCATGGCATGCTTTCTGCAAATCAATGGAACAAGACTTTTCCAAAGCAACATCAAAGACCAAGCAACTCAAACGCCGACAGCAGTCTCAGCACATGTTTCAACATAGTGATGGACCAGCAACAGCAGCAACAATTACGTGTGAGCATCTTGCATCTGTATACAGTGGCAGTATCCTCCCAGATCAGCGTCCTCCTCCTCCTCTTCACAGTACTAGTCTGCCTTTTGCCTCTGCCAACTCACCATTTGTTTCTTCAGTGGTAGAGGGATGCATGCAATTTATGCCTAACCGCAAGGCACCAGGCCCAGATCACATCAGAGCAGAAATGTTGAAAGTAATTCGACCACAAATTGCTCCACTACTCTCACTCTTGTTCACTATCTGTTGGCAATGGTCATATGTACCTGTTATTTGGCGTCAGGCTCAAGTTTTTCCCATTTACAAAAAGGGAGATCCATCAATTGCTGCTAACTATCGACCTATTTCACTAACTTCTGTTGTGCGGAAACTGATGGAAATGTGTATTTCTCCAGTGCTTCACAAGTTTTTCCCTCCTCTGGATGTTGCTCAGGGTGGTTTCCGTCCTAGACGTGGTGCCATGGACCAAGCTCTCTGTCTGCATGACCTCATGAAAGCACACTTCCACCGCCATCACCATTATCCTGTTGTTGCATTCTTAGACATAAAGGCAGCTTATGATACAGTAGATTGACGAGTCATTTGGGATGCTCTTGCTAGACGTCACACACCACCAGCTTTACTTGGACTTCTTGTCAATATGTTTGATAATGTCTCTATATCTGTTCTTCTTGGCAACTTCTCTTCTCATTCTTTTTCTCCCACCACAGGCGTCCTTCAAGGTTCCGTTCTCAGTCCACATTTGTATTCAATCTATATCAACTCCCTGCCACCAATACTCCGCACAGTTGCATCACCACTCACCTCAACACATATCCCATCAACCTCTCCTTCCTCATTGGATGCTTACAATTCTCTTCTTGCCCCATCAGATGTGAATGACTTTCAACACATTCACTTGCCTACTGCCATTAACAGTCTTCTTTTTGCTGATGATGTTGCTATCTTTGGCTCTGTCACTGATGTTCAGAGTATGCTTGACCTTGCTGCCCAACACTCCTTCCAGCTTGGCTACCGTTGGAGTCCTTCGAAATGTGCTGTACTCTATCCTCCTTCACGATCTTTACCACGTTCTACTATCTCTCTGTATGGCGAGTTGCTTCCTGCAGTAAATGAGTTTATATACTTGGGTATACCTTTCCGTAACAAAGACATCTTTGGACCATCTGTTGTCACTCATCGTTGTTCTGGAGCATTGGCTGCTATGGCAACTCTTACTGCTGTTGGTGCATGTAGATCTGATTTCAGTTTGCTCTTAAGTTCATGTCTGTTCAAAACCTTTATACGACCAAAATTCGAGTATGGTCTTGCAATCACATGTCTTTTGCAAAAAGATGTTTTACTTCTAGAGAAAATTCAAGATAAATGCTTGCGAATGATTGTTGGTGGCCATGCAACTTCATCTACTGCGGTCTTGAAACATATCTGCAACCTGCCCAGTATGACTTTTTGCGTTGACATTCTCAAAACAAAATTTTGTCTTCGGGCACACACTCTTCCTTCTGCTTGTCTTCTCTCTCTGCTCTATTCTCATCATCTCCAAGCATCAACACTATCCACTCTTCACACAAACCTTCTTTTTACCAGCATTCCTTCTGATCTTAATTGCTCCAGCCGCATAAAACTATCCAAGCACTTTGAGTTTTTTAGACAAGAAAAGTTTGCTCACTTTCGTCTTACCAACACTAAGATTCTCATCCAAGCTTGCCACCCTCTTCTTGAAGTTGATCCTGTATTGTTTCTTCCTGCTACACGCATAGAACATGGCTGTCTAGTACGTTGGAGAATGGACTGGTTGCCTGGTAAGCCAAAGGAGTGTGCATGTGGCTTTGATCATACTTCAAGACGCCATCTCCAATTCTGCATCACAATCCCATCTCAGCTGTTCTCTCAACTTCCAGCACCACCCACAGATGAAGACAACATCATTGACTTTGCTATATCAGCACTACCAATCTCGTCTACACATCCAAGCCCTCTATATTGGAAAGCTCTTCTTACAATACTATGGCATATTGACATGCTATGAAATCCTAATGACAACTACACACATGAAGCCGATCATGGTTCTCTCTGGCACTAGCTCTAATAATTTAATATCTGTTTTCTTTTACTTCTTTTCTTCTTATTTTTGTCTTCTTATTCATGAAATGTTTCTAGATCTGCAATTCTGTCTCCTCCCTTTCACTGTTACAACTTTTTACACAGCTGCAAAGTGGAGAGCAGGTTCAGTCTTTTAGCTTAGTATTGTTTATTTCTCTTCTTCTATTCATTTTTTTTGTCTTTTGTGATCCTTTTGGACTTTTTTTATCTTTTTCTTTTGTACTTGGGAGGCTATATGATCTATAGATTGCCAGCAATATCTCCTTAATAAAAATAATCTTTAATCTGAGCCAAGAAGGCACTTCTCTTTCATGTAAGCTTCACTTTTTTAAATTTTGGGTTTTTCAAAGTTTGCATCCATACAATTCTATCATCAATCCATCCGAAATATTGCTTCAACCATTGCATCCATTGTCAAACACGACGCATCTACCCTTCCCACCACCGCATCCATTGTCAAAAAAAAATTTTCTATCGTTCCTGTCATTTTAGCACCAATTTTCACTTTTTCTCTGCCGATTGCTGCCATCTCAAGATCATCTCCAAACATGTTACAATTGTTGCCTGCTAATTGCATACAAAGTCTGCCAGCCGAACTTGTGACGTTTTTAACCAGTATGCAGTCACAGTTCAATGCACTTAACGAACGTACAGCATATTTGGAATCTCTTGCTGCCGAAAATGTCCAATTGCATGCTCAATTAGCTAATGTCCGGCAGGAGAATGCCGATCTCTGATCTCAATTGTTGCAAAACAATGTGACTGGTCCTGTTCCCAGCTCTGCTTCTCTTCCTGCACCCCAGTCAACTGCAGATCTTGGAACTGCTGCCTCCACTTGGGCCACCAAAACAAGCTTGATTCTGCCAGCCAAGACACCTCAAGTTCCTTCTGCCCGCCGGGTTGCTGCCTCTCAAAGACTGTTCTCTGACAAAACTGGTCCTGATGGTTTTGAATACGTTTATATTCCTTGCTCACGTCATATTACGCACAGTAAAGTGCGCCGCTCTCTCCGCACTCTTGGTGTTAACACTGGTCGCCTGTTAGATATTAACTTTCCTGCTCGTGGGGTGATTAGCATTCTTGTCCATGTGCAGTATCTTGAGGAATTTAAGTCCCAATTAGCTAGTGCTAAGGTCTCTCTTGTCAACAACTTTGATCCATTTCATCCTAAAAATGTTGCTGATCCCAAGTTTGCCAACTTGTCTGTCTCTGGTCTTAAAACCCAGACTTTGGTTCTCTAAAATGCCCACTGTCTCCAAGCTCTCAAGTTTTTGCGTTCTCACTTAGTTCTGCTAGTTGCTCACTTCTTTGTCCAGTCAGGATGGATTGGTATTGAGGAAATTCCTGCCCAACCAGTAGCTGAGCACTTTGGTGATGCTCCAAACAAAAAACGTGCCCTTGATGCTCTCACTGCTATGATTGAATGAGTGACCTTTCAATAAGATTATAGAATGCTAATGGACTTCAACCTTGTGTAATAAAAGACGTGCTCAACCACTGTTAATCTCTTCATATGCTTTTTATAACTGAAACATGGCTCTTATCCCAAGCCCGTCTTCCAACCTCATGGTCTCAGTTTCATCTCTATGGATCTCCTGTTGCTGGCAACTACTGTGGATCAATGGGGTTGTCATTGTTAGTCTCTCCTTCCTGTCCTTATGCCATCACACAAATGCCTATGCCCAACAACTATGCTCTTGCTGTCAAGATTGGTACCCTTCGACTTATATGCCTTTACTTACCACCCTCTATGCCCACTCATGAAGCTCTTAATATCCTCCCAGCCATTTCTTTAACTGATGATACCATTATATGTGGAGATTTTAATGCACGCCTTGGTTCAGTAACTGGTGACTATGCATCTAACCCTCGTGGTGTAGCTTTAGAGCAATGGCTTGAAGAACGATCTTTAACTGTCCTCAATGGAGTTCTCTCACCATGCACACCCACATACATTTCCTTTCGTAACGAAGTTGAAATCAGCAGCATCATTGACCTTTTCATTGCCAACACCAACTTCGCCAACCCTTCTTTACACATTGCAACCGAACTATCTTTAGGCTCTGATCACCGACTTCTCTTACTTTCCTTTGCTTATGACCTGCAACACTCACCACCAGCACATTCACCTATGCACCAAACTTGGAATCTGTCACGTCTTTATGAAGATGATGTCAGATCATTATATGTCACCACCTTTGTCACCAAATCCGCCTCCCTTCTCACCACACTGCAAGACCTTGTTCAGAATCCACCAACTATATGTCCACCCATTGATGCTCTTACTAACTCTTTCGATACACTCATTTATGACTCTCTTAGTAGCTCCATTGCTTCTCGCCCCCCTCGCCTCTCACATTGGAAATCGTTTTGGACCCCTGCATTGCAAGCTGCAGCCGACCATAGAGATAGTTGTTACAAGCAATGGCGTTGAGCATGTGACATTGACAAGATCAATTGGTGGAGCTGGCACCAACATGCACATAAGGAGTTTCATCAGCAAGTTCAAACTGCAAAGCATTTGTCTTGGCATGCTTTTTGCCACTCAATGAACTCGGATTTCAACAAGGCCACGTCCAAGATAAAGTAGTTGAAACGGTGCAGGAAACCACAGCACTCATTTCAGCATGATGATGGCCCAGCAGTTGTGGCAACAGTTATGTGTGACCATCTCGCATCAGTCTATAGTAAACACATACTTCCTGACATTCGACCTTCACCACCACCACTCAACACCTCTCTCATGCCTTTTGCCTCTGTTGACTCCCCATTCACCTCATCAGTGGTGGAGGCCTTCATGCAATTTATGCCTAACTGCAAGGCGCCAGGTCCTGACCACATCTGTGCAGAAATGCTAAAACCCATTTGGTCTCACATCTCACCTCTCCTTGCCTGTCTTTTCACCATCTGCTGGCAATGGTCATACACTCCTTCTCTCTGGCGCCAAGCCCAAGTATTTCCTATATTTAAAAAGGGTAACCCTCAGAATGCTGCGAACTACTGTCCCATCTCCCTTACTTCTGTGGTGTGCAAGTTGTTTGAGATGTGCATAGCTTCTGAGTTGCATAAGTTCTCTCCTCCTCTGGATGTTTCCCAAGGTAGATTTCGTCCTCGCCGTGGTGCTCTTGACCAAGCTCTCTGTCTACATGACCTGATGAAAGCTCATTTTAATTGTCATCACCACTATCCAGTAGTTGCTTTCTTGGATATCAAAGCAGCATATGACACTGTAGATCGGCATGTAATTTGGGATGCCCTTTTCAGACGATCCATACCACCTGCTCTCCTTGGACTTTTGGGCAATATGTTTGATGATGTGTCTATCTCAGTTCTTCTTGGAAATTTCACCTCACATTCATTTTCACCCAAGACAGGCGTTCTTCAAGGTTCAGTTCTTAGTCCTCATCTTTACTCCATTTATATCAACTCCCTGCCAGCTCTCCTCCGCACAGTTGCATCTCCTCTCACTTCTACCTATGTACTATCATTGTCTCCGTCCTCATTGGATGCATATCAGTCTCTTCTTGCTCCTTCAGTTGTGGATGGCTACCAGCATGCAGTCTCATCAACATCAATAAATACACTTCTTTTTGCTGATGATGTGGCAATATTTGGTTCTGCTCATGACGTTCAGGCTATGATCCATTTGGCTGCCCAACACTCATTTGATCTTGGTTTTCGTTGGAGTCCATCTAAATGTGCTATCATTTACCCTCCTTCTCGTTTTGCAAACCATCCAGATCTATCTCTATATGATGAGATTCTTCCTGTAGTGGAGGAATTTATATATCTTGGTGTTTCTTTTCGCAATAAAGGTATTCATGGGCCTTCTATTGTCACTCATCGTCGTTCTGGAGCCCTGGCAACCATGGCAACACTGAATGCAGTTGGAGCATGCCAGTCTGGATTCTCTCTGCTTCTCAGCTCTCGTCTGTATAGGACCTTTATCAGACCAAAATTTGAATATGGATTGGCTATTCTCCCTCTGAAAAGAACTGATACTATCCAGCTTGAGAAAATCCAAGATAAATGTTTGTGCATGATTGTTGGTGGGCACCGAACCTCATCTACAACTGTGCTCAAACATATATGTCACCTTCCTAGTATGAGTTTCTATGCTGATGTGCTGATAATAAAGTTTTGTATTTGTGCTCACTACCTTCCCTCTGGCTGCCTTTTGTCTCTTCTTCACCGTCACTACTCTCAGTCTTCATCACTTGTCACTCTTCGTCATAATACTCTCCTTTAAAGCATCCCTATTGATTTAAATGTTCATAGGGGCAAAGCTCTCAAACATCACTTCGAAACCTTTCAACAGTTCAAAACTGATCAGCTCCGATTGTCTTCAAACCAAGTCTTGTTCCTAGCATGCCGCCCTCTTTTGGAAGTCAATCCTATTCTGTTCTTGCCTGCAACTAAGGTGGAACGTAGCCGCCTTGTCCGCTGGAGAATGGGTTGGTTGCCTGGCACTCCTAAGGATTGCTCTTGTGGTACTGACCATACCTCACGTCGTCATCTTGCTGTCTGCTCTTTGGTTCCTGCCCATTTGTTGGCCTGTCTTCCTATTCCATCTGATCAAAACTGTAATCAAATTCATGTTGCCATTACTGCTCTCCCAAATTCTAGTCAGGCTTCTTGCCCCTCTTATTGGGTAGCACTGCTTACTATTCTCTGGCATTTTGACAAGCTTTGTAACCCTGATAGTGACTACACTCATGAAACTCACTTTGGTACTCTTTGGGCTGGACTTAGCTAGTTTTTGTTTTCTTTTTCTTGCCTTTTTTTCTTTTCTATCTAATTTGCTTTCTCTTTTTGTCTTTTCACGCATGAACTGCTGCCTGCTTGCACTTCTATCTTCTCCCTTTTACTGTTACAATATTTTTACACAGCTGCAAAGTGGAGAGTAGAGTACAACTCTCAGCTTATTAGTGTTAGTTCTTTTCTTCTCTTTCTATTTTTTTGTCTTTTTGTGATCCTTTTGGACATTTTTTGCTTTTTCTTTTGTACTTGAGATGCTATATGATCTATAAATCGCCAGCAATAAATCTCTTTAATAAAACATAATCTTTAACCTGAGCTACATCCCCACTGCTCTTTTCACTGCAAAAACACCTTAAAATAATTGAATTCCACTTACCTGGAATTATTGATAACAGTAGCCAAAAAATTATAACCCAGGTCATTTCCTGTGTTTAGCAGCGAGAATATATTTAAAGACATATCATTAGCCTAATATATATCAGAGTCCCTGAGAGAATTTTTTTAAAATAATAAAGACAATTATAATAAGCAACGGCTGTTACACACTTCCTTTATTATTAAAAAAAATTAAGTGAAAAAATGTTTGCCATTGCCAATCCCAATGAAGTTCGTTGCAAATGCACAAGATGCAATCGCAATCATCTCGGATACACCATGACAGATAAAAGAACTGCCAAGCGTCATGCCCAGAATGATAATGACAGGAATATGGATAAAACCATTAATGGTAAATTAAGTTATCAATTTTTCATTTATTTATATGATGTATTCTAATCCATTAGAACAAATAGTTTTGACAGCCGAAGTAAACACTGGTGAAGCTGATATGAATGTAGATCAAATTGAAGAACATATTGAATGTAATAGTATTTTATTTTTTATACCCAATACACACTCTATTTAAACTCGGTACCAATAGATGATAATTACTCCATTGGTGCACCCTCACCAGAGCAGTATGTTAATACCCACTTACCTCTTTTGGTGAAAGAATCTCTTTTTGAAACAGAGGAGCATACCTCAGAGTATGAGTCTGAATATGAGTCATCGGATGAATTTGAGCAAGAAGAACAGAACAGAGAGCAAGAACAGGGTAAATATTAAAAATAAACTATGATTGAAGAAAAAAGGTTTGAATTAAAGAAACAAAAAATTAATATTATTTTATGATAACTTACAGAGTCTACAAAAAACCTTCCAGAGAATATTTGGCATCGAGTAATTGCGGTTTTCACTGTGATATTTATTTCTAGCTTCATTGTGGATGAAGGCGCAGTAATTTTGATTACATTCATAAATACAATCCTCGAACATTATGGAGAGGATTTCCAACTTCCCACAAGCATTCCAAGTTTGAGGAAAATGACAGGATACAATGACTTGACAAACGGCGTATCAAAATATGTAGCATGCAGTAATTGTCACACATTGTACGATTACAGAAACAACACACATACATACTGCAATTTCAAAAGAGTTGGTAGTAAGACGCATTGTAAGAATGATCTCTACAAGTCTAGTATGAAGAACGCCATGATTCCAAAGTGCATGTTTGTTTATAACTCGTTGACAACTACCTTGAAAAAAATGTTTACACGTCCTTCTTTTGAGAGTATGATCAACAGATGGAATCGTGAACCAAAAGTCGACGGTACTTTATTCGATGTATATGATGGAAAGATGTGGAACGAATTAGTGGATGAGGATGGTGTCCAGTTTGTTTCGAAGGAATGATCATTACTATTGACACTGAACATTGATTGGTTTCAACCATTTGATGGAGTAACATATTCTTGTGGTGCGATATACCTGAAAATTAACAATCTGCCGAGAGAAGAGCGAAACAAGGCAGAAAATGTCATTCTTGTTGGATTGATGCCTGGACCTAAAGAAGCAAGCACCGACGAGATCAATAACTATTTGTGTCCTCTTGTTGATGAACTTATGCTATTGTATAAAGGTATCACAATTGATACATATAACTGCTCAGGTGCTCTGGTGCGCGCTGCTCTGTTGATGGTTGCATGCGACATCCCTGCTGCAAGAAAGACGTGTGGGTTTACATCTCACAACAGCACATGTGCATGCTACAAATGCAATCGTCAGTTTGCTCGTATTGATGGGACCACTGCTGTAAACTATTTTGGACTTAAGTTTTTGGAATGGGTAGGCTGCACAAAAGAAGAAAATCGCAGACATGCAAATCTGTGGAAGAATGCAAAGACATTGACAGAGAGAAAGCGATTGGAGATTGAGAATGGTGTTCGTTTGTCTGAGCTTCATCGACTTGTGTACTTTGAGCCAGTGCGTGCAGCCATTACCAATCCCATGCACAACCTTTTTCTCGGGACTGCAAAACGAATGATGGATATTTGGATTGCAAACAATTTGCTTAATGACAAAGATTTTGTAGAGATGCAGGAAGAGGCTAATAGAATGGTACTCCCTGTAGGGTATACGACTCTGAAGATAAAGATTGGAAAGAAATTTCCATTTATGAAGGCAGATGAGTGAAAATCATGGTGCCTGATATACTCTTCTGTTCTGCTTAAGACACGCCTGCGAGATGATCTGCTTGGCAATTGGATCCATTTTGTCAATGCATGCAGAAAATTGACGAAACCAAGTATCACCAAAAATGGGATCAAAAAAGCTTACGAAAGTTTGGAGGAGTTCTGTGTTGGTTGTGAAGACTTTTATAAACCAGATGTATTCACGCAAAATATGCATCTCCATCTCCACCTAAAAGAAACGATTGAGGACTTTGGGCCAATTTACGGATTTTGGCTATTTAGCTTTGAGCGCTATAATGGTGTATTGAAAGGGTTTGAGACAAACCAGAAGAGTGGGTTTGAGAATATCTACATGAAAAGGTTTCTTGAGAGTTGTTACAATGGTGACTTTTGTCAAGCGCATCTCAGAAATGTTACCAGCCCTTTACTCCTCTCTCTCTTTCTCAAGCTGTCTGGTCGTAAAATCTATAATCCTGCACTTTCGCCACATCCTTTGATACCATCACTCTTTCACTTGCCAACGTTCCTACAATCCACTGAAAAGCCTTCAAAGCAAACATTTGGCAACGAACCTCTACCTTTTTTTGCTCTACCATTGTGTTTGAAGCCACCAACAACAATGAGAAAATCCGAGTATGATTGTCTGCTCGATTTCTATAAAATTGAGTATGACGATGATTCTCTTTGCAGTGCCAAGACAACAACCAGGAATTGTTGGTTTGTGAATGACCGAATCCAAAAGATTTCGTCCATCAATCTTCTTGAACAAGTTTACACAGGTGGAGAAGGCTTGGTCGTGAGAGGATCGCATATACAAGCGAAATTTATTGAAAAAAGTGGAGACTCTGAGGAAAGATATGCTGGTCGTATTAAGTACTTGTTCTTGCACGATTTTACACCAAACCTCACGCACACCAACCTTTCCCCTTGTCACAATCCCCAACACGTATTTGCCTTCGTTGAGTGGTACAAAATTCCTTGCCATCAACCTAGAATCAAGCAGGGCATCGAGTTGTATGAGCCAGAATTTCTGAAGTATGACTACAACAACATTCTGTCTGTTCACCGCATCTTGTTGCCAATTGCAATTGGAAGTCATGTGTCTGGTAGTGGTGCGGCAAAAGTCGTTGTTATTCCTCTGCCAAGAAAGCTGTACGCTTAATAAAATACTCTATCTTTTTTTTAAAATAATAATAATAATATAAAACATACTTCATAGACATAAAAAGAGATGTGATAAAGAGTGCAACTAAAAAGACAGAAATTTTATTATACGCGTTTTGATCACGCAGGCATTTTTGTGACCAAGCCACGAGGAATTGTCTCATGTACTAACACATGACTCTGCGACTTCAACTGCGTTGCTCTTTTTCCCAAGTCATCTCTGGCGAGCTCATCAAGAAAGTCAAACACGGTATTCAACTATAAATGTATATATACATCAGGAATCAAATAACAAAAAAACCGTTTTATATAAAACATTACCTCATCACTACGCCAATCAGGACGAGATGCAACAACAGAAGTATCGGTTTCTGTCTTATCACCAGACATTGCGTCTCTGTAAAAAACGCCATTATAATCCCAATTAAACTTTTCAATGATGGCATCCTTATGCTTTGTGTACGTTCTTTTTCTCCTTTTATTAAGCTACGATATATATAATATTTTAAGTATACTTGTCAAAATTGAATTATTATAAATAGAAATGTTTACAGCAGTCTTTCTATTTCCTATTCTGTTTGAGGTAGTGTTTGTCTGTCTGTCTTCTTCAGTAAGCTTACTAGCAGCCAAGCGATTGTAATAGCTGTTTACACTTATACCACATAGCTCTTTTGGTGGTACCATGGCTGCTACAGGTTGATGACGAATGTAAAGCATCAAATCACTTGCAAGATTCTTGTTAAACTCGTCAGACAAACCAACATTGACATCCCAAGTTGGTTTATCATCATTCTCTCTGATCAACTCCAAATCATCTGTCTTAAGATTAATATCTCTTAACCGCCCCCGAACAATACTCTATTAAAGGTATATTGATGTTAGATTTAAAGGGAGATTGTTTTTATAATTTTAGTATTTGAGCTTACTGAGATCTTTGGGTGTCTTGAGCTGCTTATGATGTCCTGAGGATCTATATCAGAATCCAGAACGGCTTGCATGCCAGTCGATTGAGTACCCACCTGGCATTGTACTGTTCAAATAGTCAGTCTATTGGAAAACAATATAGTTTGTGTTTAATTACCTTTCCATTCACTAACATCGGAACTAACGGCTGTCATTTTGTTATTGAGTGTAGCGAGAAGACTGACTACATCATTAAACTCTGACACTGAAATTGACATATTTTCTGGTCTAGGAGCAATCATTGGATTTGACGATTCTATATGCCCAGTGTTGACTGCATTGATCAATGGCCTAGATTTTAATCCATTGGTACGTGCGTTCTGGTTGATGTTAGTTCTTGGAGCCATTATCTGTATTTCTATATAATAAAATAATAAGTTTCTGGTATATAGTGCTTGATATTTCTATTTTAATAAATTTTTAAGAGAGTACTTTACACGTAAAGAATTGTAGAATAATTGAGTGATTAAACAATTATGCTAATGATTAAGCGAGCAAGTTGATCAAGTGTATGAGTGTGTAAATACTTCTTTATTTAAATGATTGAGGAGATCGAAATATATTATTTTGAAAAAAATTGAGCTAGAAAACAACTTCTTTAGGTATATAGTAAGTAAAAATTGTTTTATGAAACATATAAAGCTATAATTAGTAGACAATTTTTTTTTAAAGTAAGAGAAACAGTCTACTAACTTTTTCAGGGTCTACGGCTTTTTCAAACACTGTTTTTTATTTTCCCACCTTTTTCTGTTTTTCTCTACTCTTTAATAATATTAATAAAAATAACACTCTTTTAATCCTACTATGTTTCACTTTAGGCACCCTTAATATATACATATGATGCAGGTGTCTTTCATTATACAAGAGGTACTTTACTATTAAATATATCATTATTTTACTAACTATAAATTACTTTAAATAGTCATTACATATATTTCTCTGATATAACCGGTGCAGGCAAAAGAAACACAAAAACATATTGGTGGCATATACGTATATATCTATATCAACATCTTCTTCTCAGTATTAAAAACAATATCTAACATCTACTTTTAATATAGCTCACCCTTGATTTACATATGGTCAGTAAAAACAAATCATTTAAAGAATATAAGGGTACGTGTTATTCATTTTATTATTGTGTTGTTTTTATTTTGTTTTGTTTTTTTATATCAGCATTCTCACTCTCCTTTTTTATAGTTGAAATGGTTCTTCACATTCTTATATGACCAGTACTCAAGGACAAGACATGTTCCTTTAGTAAATATGTATGTATATGTTTTATATTCCTTTCTTTGTAATATATACTTGAATGCCGCATTGGCTCGTAACTTTTGATAATATAAATCTGTGTTTTATTCCATTATTAACAAATTATTCTAACAGTATGTAAGTATCTTTCTACTCCCTTTAATCAAATAGCTTCAGTAAGCATATATACTCACTATCCGAGTTTATTAATTCAAAAAATTCTGAAACAAAATTTACAAGAAGTACAATATAATAGATTAGTGTATTAAATAGTAATACTATATAGAATCCTTATTATTGCCAAAAAAAAGACTTTTTTTATCCAAAATAAAAACAAATAAAAAAATCATTTTTCAAAACAGAACAATATCCAATTGAGAGACTCGTGCTTAGCATTTGCACCTGTGAGAATTTTTTCTTCGATTCATTTAGCCAATAAACATTAAAGAAGTGCCCTGTTATTACGCCTGTTATTACAAAAACAAGGCCTACATCAAATTACAGATGTAATCAGCGGTAGATAATACATTGTTCTGCATTTGGAATAGTCTATATAATTGATCCCCGAGAACAGTTGATACACAGACATTATACCTAAACTCCCGGTTTTTATTTTTGGAATAAGATAATATTCAATTATTTTTGACACTTTATTCAATAACTTGTCAACTATAATTTCCTTAATATTTACGAGTAATTCATTTTTATGTGACAAAATATCCCGATAATCAAAACCTATTATTATAATAATTCCCAATGGTTTTTGCAGTGTTTGTCACATGTGTTGTGGGCAGGTCCGGCTTCGGCCAGTTTCTGGTGGGGGATACTGGACAGTGGATTCCTTCAGTGGTTTGGTCCGGTGGTGAGCCGTGACGGGTGGTACCGGACTCGTGGGCGTTGATGTTGACAGTGAGTTGACCGAGTGACGTGTCTCAAGGGACAAGAGTGGTCCCCCAGGTTTCTTAGGGAATCTTGCTCCCAATACCCCTATATCCAAACCCCCCAATATAATCTCGTTCCTTAAAATTAAATATCATCACCTCAGAAACACCTGTCACCCACTAAAAACATTATACCTTTTTCCCCTAATTTATACACTTCTTTATTGCCAACATTTATTTTACACTATTTTTTATTACATTTTATTAGATTCCATTATTATACTATTATTATATTTTTTTACTTTACTTTACTACATCATTATTATATTATTACTTTACTTCTATTCTACCTCACTATATTTTTACTTTATCTTTATTCAATTATTATATTTTTACTATACTTTTATTTTACTCTCTCTATAATTTTCTATTCTACTTCTACTATCAACACCAGTTACATGTAGTAAAAATTTTCACTTGACTTTCTTTTTTTTTCCTCAAAAAATTATTTTAACCAAACATTTTTGTTTATAAAAGGAACAACCTTTTCAATCAATAAAATCATCATTCTATCCTTGATCTTATTTATTTATTTTTGTCTGTTATTATCATTATTCTTCATTCATACACAGTGTCCTTGTTCTTTGCAGTGTTGCCTGTCGATTTTGATATATTTTGTTTCTCTGTTTTCCCCTTTCTGTCTTTCTCAGACTTTGTCGTTGTCACAATTTCCATTTTAATCTTCTCCCTATTTTTCTACCTGTCTGTCACCAATTCTTACCTGTCAAATTACCCATTCTTTGCCATTCTTATAGTATTCTTTTTCTTGTATTTCGTAATTCACATTACATTTATTTGCCAAGTGATACTGTTACAATCCACAACAAACAAACACATCACGCGTCACTTTCGCTTAAGCATTTTATTTGCCTGGTTCCAAAATTTTATTTTTGACGAATCCATATATAAAGTGTATCCATCCATCACGAAAAACGTATCTTCCATTGCCAAAAGTAGTGCAGTTCTTGTCCTTGGTATCTCAGCTGTCAGCAAAAAAAATTTCAGCTCTATCAGACAACATTTTGACATCCACATTCTCGCTCCCAATGGCCAATTTGCAAATTGGCAATATGCAGGGATTACCAACCAAACTTACCTCATTCCTGACGACATTGCAGGCACAAATCATGCATGTGCAAAACAAAACTGACCAGTTAGAGCGACTTGCAGCAGAGAATGCAAGATTAACCACTGAATTGGATCAAGCTAGAACAACAATTGCTAATCTGCAGAAGCAATTAGGATCCCAGAGTGCATCTGAAAAAAACTTTTCAGAAATTTTACTTTCGAACCCAGCCGGTGCGGTAGGTGCTCCTGACAAAAACAAAGAACCAGGTCTGGAAGCCTCCACTTGGGCTAGTAAAGCCAGTGTTTCTCTTCCTGTAACTGCCCCAAAAATGTCTGCTGTTCCATCTGCTCGCCGTATTGCAGCTTCTGTCCATATGTTTGCTCTTCCATCTGAACCTTCTGGTTATGAATATGTTTATATTCCACGATCAAGACGTCTTAAGCACAAAGAAGTCCATTCCTCTCTCTGCACTCTTGGTGTGGATTCTTCTCGACTTTTGGACATTAACTTCCCAGCCAGAGGTGTCATTGGCGTCCTTGTTCATGTCCAGTATGCTGATGCCTTTAAGGCCAAACTGACAACTGCTTCCGTTGAGATTTTGGACGCATTTGATCCACTTGACCCTGATAATGTTGCTGATCCCAAGTATGCACCTCTGTCCACTCATGAACTTGCCAACACTGCTGCCATGCTTCACCATGATAGATGTCTTCAGGCCCTCCAGTTCTTGCGCCCTCATGTTGCTATCCCAGTCGGTCACTTCTTTTGTGAGGAAGGGTGGATCAGTGAAGATAAAATACCCACACGCACCACTTTTACCAATGCCACTGGTGAGTCATTGTTCAAACGTCAGTGCAGCTCATCAGTCACTATGTCTGAATGAGTAATCTCAATATTGGATTATGGAATGCCAATGGCCTGCAACCCAGAGCCATTCATGATACCCTTCAACACTGTCAATCCTTACATATGCTCTTCATTACAGAAACATGGCTCCTCTCTCCCTTACGTCTTCCCATATCATGGTTACAAATTCACTTGTATGGTTCTCCTGTAGCTGGCACCTATAGGGGCTCTATGGGTGTTTCTGTTCTCATCTCACCTCACTGTCCTTATGCTGTCACTCAAATACCTATGCCCTCAAAATATGCTCTGGCTGTCAAAATTGGCTCACTCAGAATTGTGTGCTTATATCTTCCACCAACTATGCCCACTCATGATGTCCTACATATACTCTCTTCCATTCCTTTAACACATGATACCATTCTTTGTGGTGATTTCAATGCAAGACTTGGCTCTGTTACTGGTGACTATGCATCGAATTCTTGTGGACTGGCACTATGTTCTTGGATAGAAGAGAGATTTTTATCAGTTGTAAATGCAGATCTTGCACCTTGCATACCGACATATATTCCTTTCCGCAACAACTATGAAATCAGCAGTATTATTGACCTCTTTATAACTAATATGCCACTCATAAATCCTTCTCTTCATATTGCTACTGACTTGTCCCTTGGATCAGATCATCGCCTTTTATCACTTTCCTTTACCTATGATCTACAGCACTCTACCAATATGCCACCACCATTACGCAAGACATGGAACCTCTCACACCTCAATGAACCTGATGTCCATGCTCTTTATGCTCATATCTTTACTCAAAACTCAACCTCCCTCCTTTCCACCTTGCAAGAAATTGTACTGAATCCGCTACTCACCAAACCTGACATTGATGCTATAACTGATGAGTTCAATTCACTCATTTACAACTCACTAAATAGCTCAATTGGACATCGACCCTCTCGCCCCAACCATTGGAAATCCTTCTGGAATGTGGCACTACAAACAGCAGCAGATCATCGTAACAAATGTTACAAAAAATGGCGCCTAGCAATAGGTATTGACAAAGTTGTTTGGTGGACTAAACACAAGCATGCACAGACTGAATTCCGATCCCAAGTTCAGCAAGCCAAACGCCAGTCTTGGCATGTGTTTTGTCAGTCTATGGAACGTGATTTCAGCAAAGCAACGTCAAAAATAAAACAGTTAAAACGCCGTAGACAGCCATAACATACCTTCCAGCATGACGATGGACCAGCCGTAGTAGCAGCAACAATGTGTGACCATTTGGCAACAGTATATAGTGGACATATACTTCCAGCAACCCGACCACCAGCACCAACAACGACTTATAACAGTGTGCCTTTTGCCTCTGATGACTCTCCATTTAACTCATCAATTGTGGAGGAATTCATGCAATTTATGTCTAACCGCAAGGCACCAGGGCCTGATCATATCAGAGCTGAAATGCTAAAACCTATCAAATCACTTATCTCACCTGTTCTTGCTTTGTTATTTACAGTTTGCTGGCAATGGTCGTATGTCCCAAGTCTTTGGTGCCAAGCACAAGTTTTCCCCATCTTCAAGAAGGGTAGTCCAACAGATCCAGCTAACTACCAGCCGATCTCCTTGACTTCTGTACTGTGTAAGCTTTTTGAGATGTGTATAGCCCCCAAGTTGCACAAGTACTCTCCTCCTTTGGATGTGGCTCAAGGTGGTTTTCGTCCTCGCTGTGGTGTTTTGGATCAAGCTCTCTGTCTCCATGATCTGATGAAAGTCTATTACCACCATCATAAGCACTACCCTGTTGTTGCATTTCTGGATATCAAGGCTGCCTATGATACAGTAGATCGACGAATCATCTGGCACGCTTTACAACAACGTGGCACTCCACCAGCCCTTTTGGGCCTCTTAGTTAACATGTTTGACAATGTCTCCATCTCTGTCCTTCTGGATAACTTTTCTTCACACTCGTTCTCACCTGCCACTGGGGCTCTCCAAGGTTCTGTCCTCAGTCCACATCTGTATTCAATATATATCAACTCCCTGCCCCCATTACTCCGCACAGTTGCTCACTCACACACTACAACCCATGTTTCATCACCCTCTCCTACCTCATTGGATGCGTATAATGCTCTTCTTGCTCCTTCAGGTATGGATGGCTTTGGACATATTCATTTCTCAACACCCATCAATTCTCTGCTCTTTGCTGACGATGTAGCTATTTTTGGTTCTTTTTCAGACGTTCAGGCCATGCTAGACCTTGCTGCAGACCACTCTCTTACTCTTGGATATCGATGGAGCCCCACCAAATGTGAAGGTATATATCCCAAAACATGTGCAAGCTCACCAGTTCCACTTCTTTTATATGGTCAAGTTCTCCCTGCCACTGACCTGTTTATTTATCTGGGTGTTCCTTTTGCCAATAATACACCCACTGACAGTATCTCCTTATTTTATCCTACGGAGAGTTTGAATTTTGAAAATCTGTTGAGGTAGTGACAGGTTTTACTTTTGGTAAATTCAATTAGAATTGTATTTGTTTATATCAATCAGAAATATTTTTCTTGTACTTTTAAGATCTTTTAATGATATATATTTATTATTTTTATTATTATCTCTGAGTATTCATGTTTCTAAAATATGAAGGGTTCTCACTTCTATATTCATCCATCAACCTCACAGCATCTGCGAGTGCTCTTTTTATAAGATTTGCCTTTGTTTGATCTAAGCCAGAAATTGCCTTCAAAGTTTGAAGATCTTCAAAGCCGTGATGCATTGTTGCAGAATAAGCTGCAATTTTGTCAAAGATATATACACCTCTATCTTCAGCAGTACCTCCACTCTCTAATTCCTCCTCTACTTCTTCCTCAACTTCGTTCTCGTTTGCATTTACAGTGTCTTGTTGGTTCAATGCCACTCCTACTATCTCCCGTTGCTCAATGAAGCTGAATTTTGCCTCACAGTAATGCTTCAACAAATGTAAATGCTTGCATGGGATCTGGCAGGTCAGAAAGTTCGGGCAGGTGCAGCTTTGTATCAAGTCATTTGATATATTGATAGTATACCACTTATCTTCTGTTACGAAAGATCTTATTTGCCACTCACCATTATAATCATCCATGCTGTTACCAGTCTCACCCAAAGGGTTGAGAATCATGGAAGGGAGCATGTCATTTTGGATTTTTGAAGCAACAAAAGAATTTCTTGCTAACTCATTATCAATGGGACCCATCTTACCATTGTTGAAGTGAATACACTCAACCTCTTGTTCAAAATAGAACTTCACATCATTTGTCAAGATAAAAATCAGTCGATTCAATCTTCTGATGCGTGCACAACCAAAGTAGATTGTCTTGAGTTGATTGTGCCATGATTCTACATAGTTGTTTGTCACATATCTCTGATGTTGTTGGCTAACATATGGGCGCCCCCATCTTTGCAACAATTCTTTGTTCTTGGTCCATTTCTTCTCAAAATATTTCAAAAACTGAGGTTGATCCTGAACCATCAGTTTAAAACCTTCAATTGCTCTTAGGAATACATCTTCATTGGACTTGATGAGAATGTGTCTCAGGTAGTACTTCAGCGCAGTCTTATAATTTCCAAGTTGTTCTGATGTATAAGAGGCATTAAGTTTAATCTTGCTGTCAAGGTTGTGCTGCCAAGTACAAAGAACATGAAAATCACAGTAGTGACTTATAGCATGAGGTAATGCTTCTTTGATTGCATTAACCTCCATAATGCTACAGTCAATGGTGATATTCATTGGTACAAAGCTGCTTTTGATGCGAAGGTGGTCAAGCCAAAGTTTGATGGGTATGGCTGTCTGGTTGTTTGTCACCATGTATGCAACAGGGAATCCTTTTCCTGTTTGAAAATGGCGAGTGACCAAAGTATATAATACTTCATCGCTTCTGGACGAAATGGAATGGGTGGCATTGAGACAAAAAGATTGCGAGATTCTCATGATTGAAACTTGCATTGGTGATTGAAATCCAAAGGCAAATTGTTTTTTACCGTCATTATAAACAGAAAGATTGATTTCAAAAATGCAATAGTTTTGTTTTGCTAGCTTTCACTAGAGAAATGACCCTGAATACCCTTGTGTGAAGGTTCATGGTTACATGTGGATATTTAGAGCAATTTTTGATCTCAGCATGTTTTTTGGTGTACATGTTCATAAAGTCATGTTGTAATTTTCTATTGGCTTGGATATAATAACCATCCAAGTTATTTTATCATTATTATTATTATTATTATAAAGTTTGAACAAATAAAGTAAATGTAACACTTGTTTCCCTTTTATCTTAACATTTATAACAAAATAAACACCATGTCCTCTACTTCTGAACTTTATAATAAGAAGTGCTATTGTACAAAATGCAGCAATAATCAACAAGGCTACAGCTTTGTTTCTACACGAACCCTCCAGCATCACAATAAAAGAGCAAGATATGAAGACATGGAAAGAAGTGAAAGAAGTATGTTTTGTTTTTCATTTTCATTTTCATTTTGGTTATTTTATATAATGTTTTATTTCAATAGATGTATCTGTTCAAAGAAATCTCATGGATATTGATTTTGAAAGTAAGAAACGTTAATTGTGATAAAAAGAGAAGTAAACTAAAAATTGAATTCTATATGTAGCTACATCAAACCAACAAACCGGACCCATGGAAGCAATGGGCGGTCAGACCAACTCGCCTGTTTGGGAAGGAGCCCCAATTTCTGACGATGAGATTGCTTTTAGCAATGAGTTGAAGGGCGAAAACAGTGATGGTGATGAAAATGACAATGACAAAGAAAGCAATGGCGATGAAGAAAGTGAAGACAATGAAGAGAATATTGTTGAGATTGAAGTCTAAGAATTCGATACTGAAGGTCGGTCCGTGTTAATTAACTACTAAAAAAAGACCCAAAAAAAAATTCAAGGAAAAGAACCAAAAAAGAAAAATCTGAAAAAAGGGGGGTGTTAATTTTTTTTGTTTTTTTTTACAATAGATCCTTTTGCCACCCCAAATATGCCTGAAAATCCAGTACACAGGTTCATTGCTACTTTTGTGGTAATGTTTGCTTCCTGCTATGTGGTCAATAAGGACGCTGTTGTCTTGATCAAGTTCATCAACAAGCTCTTGTTGATTTACGAGCAGGATTTCCAATTGCCCGTGAGACTTTCTGGTCTCCAAAGCATGACAGGATTCTCAGCCATGACAAAAGGGATTAAGAGAGTTGTCGTGTGTCAGGATTGTCACAAGGTGTATGAGGAAAGTGTACCTGCTCCTTTGAATCGTGATTTCGTAAAGCTTGGTGCACATACCGCCTGTAATTGCAAATTAATGGTCCAATCATTGTCTGGTGGTTTGGTCGCAAAGAAGTCTTATGTATATCAGTCTCTCACACGTGCTCTTAAAATTCTTTTCCTCTGTCCCAATTTCAAGCAAAAGATCATGCACTGGAACCAAGAATTCAAGATCACTGATACATTGTGTGATGTTTACAATGGTGAAGCCTGGGCTGATTTGAAGGACAATGACAATGAAATTTTTGTTGAGCATCCTCGTTCATTGATGCTGACATTAAACATCGACTGGTTCCAGCCTTTTGATGGTACTAGCTATTCCTGCAGTGCTATCTACCTGGTGATTAACAACCTGCCTAGAAATGAGTGGTTTAAAGCAGAAAATACAATCCTTGTTGGTCTCATGCCTGGACCAAAAGAGCCAAAATCAGAAGAGATCAATCATTATCTCAAGCCATTAGTCGACGAAATGATACAGCTCTATCTTGGAATACAGATACCCACCTACCAGCAAACAGACGGTACAACTGTTTGTGCAGCCTTATTGATGGTTGCATGCGATATACCTGCTGCCAGAAAGACTAGTGGGTTCACTGCGCACAACAGCACATGCGCCTGTTACAAATGCAACAATCAATTTTATCATCTGCCAGGCACTTCTTCTGTCGATTTCCGTGGATTTGATTGTGACCAGTGGCGCCATCGAAGTGATAGAGCAAACCGTGTGCATGCTGAGGAGTGGAATAGTGCGAGTACACGCTCAGAAAGGCAGCAGCTGGAGGTCGAATATGGTGTTCGATGGTCACAGTTGTATTGCCATGGATACTTTGATCTAGTACGTGGAACGATCATTGATCCCATGCATAATCTTTTTCTGGGAACACCAAAGAGAATGATTGAAACATGGACAAAAATCAAAAAAATGAAAAACAATGATCTGCTTGCAATGCAGACAGTTGCAGCAATGATGATATTGCCCAGCGACTATACCAAGCTGAAAACGAAGATAGGAAAGAGCTTTTCCCACATGAAAGCAGATGAGTGGAAGTCTTGGGTATTGGTGTACTCTCCCGTGCTTCTAAAACCAGTTCTTCCGTCCAATATGTTCAATGGCTGGATGCACTATATAAAAGCATGCCGTATACTTGTAAAGCCATCAATCAGTTTCATCGAAATAGACCAAGCACACAGATATCTACAAGAATTCTGTCAATCTTGTGAAGATACATATGAACCAAAAGTCCTCGTCTGCAACATGCACCTGCACCTCCATCTTCGTGACACAATTCGTGATTTTGGACCCATGTATGGCTATTGGCTCTTTGGTTTTGAGAGATACAATGGTTTGTTAAAGAATAATAAGACGAACAGAAAAGATGGGTTTGAAACAACCTATATGACAAAATTCGCTGCAGACGCATACAAAGCTGATTACGTACGAAATACATTATCATGTTCAAGCCTCATTCCATTCCTTCCTCTTTTCGAAAAACTTACCTCTACGACCGCACCTATAATGACCTATGCCACTTATGCTCCAACCAACCAACAACCTTTCCGACTGCAACAATTTGTAGACTCATCCTTAGATTGAGCAGCACCTATCAAAGGCAATGAACCACTCCCCCCATCCACCTTTCCTTTACAGTCCTTAAAAGAATCAACAATGAGTAATATTGATTATCCTCAATTGTTAGATTATTATAAAATCGCCTATGCCATGCCCAATCCCATTTCTTACCACGATACCAGATTGTCACAATATTTTGTAAATAACTAAATCACAAAATTGAAATCAATTGATCTCCTTGGCCAAACATATATTGGGAACAACAGTTCTGGTAAGCACAGGTCACTCGTTCAAGCTTTCTTCCATAGCAGCAATGGCCGAACTTCAAGCCTATATACTGGACAAATTCAGTATCTTTTTATACATTCATTTACTCAGCCTCCTCATTCAAACCACCGAGCATCAACATTACATCAAGACCAGCATGTTTTTGCATACATCCGATGGTATAATTCGACAAATGACAATGAACACAGAGATGAAGGTATTGCAATCTGCTTGCCAGAATTCTCTGCTGATAATTATCACAGCATCTTGCCTGTACATTGCATACACTTAGAGGTCGCAACTGCTGTAGATGTAACTGATATGAACGAAAAAAGAATGCTAGTCATTCCTATGCCAAAAAAATACTATGCCTGAAGCCTTTATGAATAATTATGCACTATGATTTTTTATGAGAATAATTAAATAAAAAACAAAGAACAAGTAATGCCTCTTTATGCATTTTTTTGGTTATTTAAAGTATAAGACGTTATGAATGAAGAAAAAATGAACAAGAAATATAAACTTTATTTAGGGCCCGTTTCTAAGAGCCCACTGAGGAAACTGTGACGCAATTGCATCAGGGACTGGTCCTTCAATGGTTTCGCCAAAAGCACATGACAGCAATTGATGGCTATTTAAGCCTAAATCAGCTACCACTTTGTTGTCAACAAGTGTGATGAAGTGGTTGTACTATATTAAAGATATTAATATTTTATTCAGTATAATACAATATAATATATTAACTAAATTAAATATTTCAACTTTAAAAAAACTAATTACCTCATCACTTCTCCAATCTGGACGACGAAGACGAAGCCCACTATAAGAAACATGAGGCGAAGTGCCATCGTCTGACTCACCAACAGACATAGCCTCTTCTATAATGAGACCAGAGCAATCTCTTTTCATCTCGTCATCAATAGCAGTCTTGTTAGACTGGTACGCTGTTTTGCAACGTTTCAAGTGCTGTTGAAAATATTAAATTAGCTTTCTTTTTTTGCTTTAAATTAATGACTTAGATAAGAATTGTTCAAATAATAAATAAATAAAGTATAACTTACCTCCTTTTCGCGGCTACTTCTTCTGTTGCGAGCATTGTCTGACTTCTTTTTAGCCTGAGACTTATTAGCTGCATGCTTTCTGCTAGTGACGTTTGTGTAGACAAAGTCACGAACATCACTTTTTCTCAGTCCTGCTCCTACAAAATTTCTTTCCAAGTAGGCAACGAGGTTTTCTGTCAACTTAGTATTTGGCAACTGGTTGAAGTTGACAGCCATGTTCCACCTTGACTTGCCATTGTTGGCTTGAATTTCAGCCAAATGTTTTGACTTGAACTTAGGGTCCCACAAATGCTCCCAAAGAAGTCTCTATTGAATCTTGGTAAGTTATTAAAAATATAATTTACTATATGTATGATACATACATAGGTTTTTGTTTTGTTGACTGATTTTGCATCAGAAGCCATGGTGGAAGAACCAGCTACATTCATTTCCATGCTCACAGGAGCAACAGCATGCACTAAAGCCATTGGCTGACTCTACAAAACAGCAGACACAGGAGTGTTCGAAGTTTTTGCTTTGATATCAGCAACGTCTTTCATGACAGTGGTCATGTCACAACGCAAGATGGCAAGAGAGTTTGCTATCTCTCTCTCAGCAGGAGTGCGTCGAGTGGGATAGCTTTCATTTTGGTTAGACATATTCTATTAATTTAAAAATATAAGTTCAAATATGTATTAACTGTTAATGCTTTTATATTCTTTGAATAAATTTCTATTATACACTACAATTATATTTATTATCAAACATATCAAAATAAAAGACAGAAAAAGATGGGGGGATAGAGAGAGAAGTGTGAGTATAAGTAAGAATAATTGTAAGAGTGCGTGAGCAAAAGTGAGTAAGATTGTAGCAAAAACGTATATTTATATTTCCAAAAAAAAAGGATGTCTAGTCTTGATTAATCTTGGTTAAAAGAATATATCTAAAGTAACTTCTTGTACACACACTGTGTAAATTGATACAAAGATTGCTTTTAGATACTACACCATTATATCTATTATGCTTTTTGGATATTTTTTGTGAGTTTCATTTTTTTTAATTACCTATTTTGTTTTTTTTGTATTTTATTTACTTATTTTTTTTATTTTTCCATATTTTTCCATATTTTTCCTTATCGACCATTTTCTTTTCTTTTCTTTCTCTTTCTGATTTTTGTTATAACTGTGAATTTTACTGGTAAGATACATTCTTCTTAAAAATACTTCTGTACAGACAACAACAAGATTAATACATTCTGTTGTCATAGATACATATATACTCTCTTAGTATTTTACTATATTCACAAACTTTTTTGGTAACATATTTTCTTTTTTTTAAAGCAATTCTTTTCTTCAAATGTAACTAAATAATAATTATTATTTCAGTTGTCATAGATACTAGCGTGTTTTTTCCTTCTGATGTATTCTCTTTACAATGGCCATCCAGATTAGTCCAGGTTAGTAACTATACTTCATGTCATCATCCTATAAAATTATTCTGACTTTTCTCCTTCTTTTTTATAGACAATATCGCCAAAAATATTCCCTACAATTAAACAAGACCATCAACACGGTAATATTTTATTTTTTATTTACTTTTAATATTTATCAGACAGAATATAATTTTTATTACAGATGAATGTTCATCTGCCAAACACGCAATGAATCAAGAACCTCTATCTCTTGGCGCCATCATTGACATGGTAAGACTTCTTCTTTTATTCTCTTAATATGTATGATAGTATTATTTATACTGTATATTAATATATGTTTTTTACTAAAGGTTATATCAACTCTTGACAAATACTATCTAGGTCTACAAATAAATTGACTTTCTTTGGGTACATTCATTACATATTCTGTCACCCAATTCACTCAAACTAACTTCTCTATATTATTTTCATTGTTAAAGAAATTATACTTGATGCCATTCCTCGAACTCTCAAAGTTTTATTTTTATCTTCTTCAGTCATTATATTGTATGTATTCTCAAATTAATATATCACTCACAACATGTAAATATTTAAATACACATCTAACTTCTCTTCTATTATGTTAAATAGTATCTGTGCCAAAGATAACTACTGAATATGAGGGTTTACAAACATTATATATAAAGCACTGCTTGATTTGAGTCATATGAAGGATACCAGTGAAGACGGCCCGAGGCATATAATATTATTCTAATACTATTAACCTAGAATCCTTCTATTTTTTCTAATAAATACAAAAATAAACTATAATTCAAACCAATAATAATTGAATATCAAGTGATTGGGGGAGCAGATAATCTATGACCTCAAAATAAAGAGTGTTAATGATTGGCTTATAAGCAATAAAATGTCCATGGTTCTAACTATTCACCCAGAGATAGCTCAACAATATGCATGCGACGTAGTCCCTGATTATTAACCTTTAACATGGAAACAGATTGTATTACAGCAAAAAAACAAAGTTTGAAATAAAGTTTTCTTGGTACTCTATTATATACAAAGATATAAAATTACTATTGACCCCAACTTCACTAGTGCTATCGAACTTTACACTTGTAGATAGCAGGTCTGTGCACATGTAACCAGATCAGCTTTGGTACCAGTGGAAATAGGCAAAACCCCACTGTAAAATGCGGAATATTCACAATAGTATGCCTGAATTTCCCGATGTGTATTTATTGTTATTTCCCAGTGTTTACATTTAACCAGATGGAAAAAGATGCATTTTCATCAGAAGCAAACATATGTAACAAAGTAGTCATCTATTTTATATACGAGTTGTGATGATCCAGACACTCGGATGTTGGATTTATCACATATAAGAACATATTCATATTGGGATAGCGTAGTAGCTATCATCTTGTCAGTATAAAATTTATATAAATGATTAAGTAATCAGCCAAATAATTATTACAGTTAGTACTGTAGATAATAGCTTAAAAATTGTTAAGATAATTATATCATACTGCTGGGTAAACTGTGTCAGATCGATATGGAGCTAATTTAGTAGGAAATCCTAAAGCTCTAATATAAAAGAGAAAAGAATAGCTAAGAGCTAAAGAAGTACGATTTATGACTTGATGTCATAATTGTAACACCGACACTAGTTAACACTGGAAAAATAGGGTAATTTCATCTATGGCGTAGGGTACTATTATTTGTGGAGTGGTAGCTTAAATTTCCATCACTTTTGTCTTTTTTATTTTCGACGGCGATGATAATGCTCGGTCTGTTTTATTGGATAAAAAAACGAGTTTACTCTTTTTTGTAAAAAATGTCTGCGAGATTTCTTTTTGGGACTTGTAGCCATGTCGCAGAGTCAATAGTTGTAGGAAACTTAAACCAAATGATATCTTTTGAGTGAGATAATAAAGCTTTTTATTGTTGTAATATTTATTTATAAGTATGATGAGGTTAATGGTTGTGATATTACTACAAATATTTTTGTTGTATATGCTCTACAGCCAATAAAATGTACATGACGACATGTTTTAACAAAAGCGTGTATTATTGTATTTTAGAATGAGGCAATCAATTACTGTTTAGAGAACTGCCCATTTTAACAACCAGAATAAACTATGTCATTTTGGAAGCTGATATAATTTGGAAAGATATATATTAAATTGTGTTCCTGAACAATTTTCTATTCTTGTCAATTCTAAAGACTTAAAAAATAAAACACACGCACACAATATGTCAAACAACAACAACAATTCAGAATGTAAGTGCTCTAAATGCTCTTCCAATAGCATGGGATTTGTTTTGGTGTCTACCCAAACACTCAGAAGACATGCACAACAGGATATCGTGAGACAATATCAGTCAGGATCTTCTTGTAAGTTCAAATTTAAGAAAATTATTATTGAGACAATTTTAATTAAATATTTATTTTCATATAATATAGCCTCAGTTATAGAAGTAATGTCGAATGACAATGACATGGAGATTGACTTTGAATACAATGTTGATGCCGAAGATCAAGTTGAAGGTATGCATAGTATTTTTATTAAAGTTTTATAATCATTTATAATATCTAATAATTTGATTCTTTTTTACCTAACAAAACAGCCGAAGACTTACCTCTTTTTGGCATTGATTTCTTGTTTGATTCTGAAAGCGAAGATGAGGGTGTCATTGAAGCAACCATTTTGGATATTTCTGACGATGAATCTGATGATGTTAGAGGTTAGTACAAAAAGCACATATAAATCAATAAAGTCAACAAGTATTGATTTTTTTTTCAAATAGAGCACTTTTCTTCATCCAATATGCCAGTCGATCCTACTCATGCTTTCATTGCTTCTTTTGCTGCCTTCTTCATATCCAAATATGTTGTCAATTCTGGTGGTGCTGTTCTGTTAAAGTTTCTTAACAAAGTATTGGCACACTTTGGACAGTCTTTCCGTCTTCCCCTCAGTATAAGCGGTGTCAACTCTATGACCGGTCTCAGCGACGTGACTCGAGGTGTCCAGTGGTTTGTTGCATGTGGCGATTGTAACAAAGTATACGAAGAGTCCGATGTTGTTCCAGAGTGCTGTAATTTCGAGAGACTCTCTGGTAGAGAATGTGGAAACGCTCTTTTCTTTGCAACATCAAGAGCCTTGACTATCCCCAAAAAGATCTACATGTATAACTCCATAATCAAAACATTGTCTATCCTTTTTTGCCGCCCTGGATTCGAAGACACCATTAACCATTGGAGAATCAGAGTGCAAGTTCCAGGCATGATGTTTGACATTTACGACGGTACGAAGTGGAACAGTCTGAAGGATAGCAATGGTTTACCGTTTGTGAATCATGAGCGCTCCATAATGCTTACCATGAATATCGATTGGTTTCAACCTTTCGATGGGGTCACTTACTCCTGTGGTGCGATATACCTTTGCATCAACAACTTGCCAAGATCGGAATGGTACAAGAAGGAGAATGTTGTTCTCGTTGGTCTCATGCCAGGGCCCAAGGAAGCAAAGACAAGTGAGATCAATCACTACCTCCGTCCCCTTGTCGCGGAACTCAACCAGTTGTATGGCGGTGTGGTGATGCCTACCGTACAGTGCCCATCTGGTGCTCTTGTCCGTGCTGCCCTTCTTCTTGTTGCCTGCAACATTCCTGCTGCCCGTAAGACTTGTGGGTTCACCTCTCATTCAAGCACATGTGCATGCAATAAGTGTAACCGACAGTTCCCTCGCCTTCCAGACTCCAATGCTGTGGACTACTCTGGGTTCGTGTTTTCTGAGTGGGTGCCTCGCACTGATGCCGAAAACCGCTGTGATGCTGAGTTGTGGAGAATGGCCAGCAGTGATGCACAGAGAAAGAGATTGGAGAGGGAAAATGGTGTCCGATGGTCAGAATTGCATGACCTGGTTTACTTTAACCTCGTGGAGTGCACTGTCATCGATCCGATGCACAACCTGTACCTCGGAACAGCAAAGAGGATAATGGAGAAATGGAGATCTTCAGGTCTCATCACAGATGCACACTTGGCCGAAATGCAGTTGGATGCTGACAAGCTTGTACTGCCAGAGGACTACACGCCATTAGGGACAAAGATCGGGCGTGGCTTCCCATTCATGAAGGCCGACAAGTGGAAGTCTTGGTGCTTGGTGTACTCTCCTGTTCTCCTGCGTGGTCGTCTACCTGGAGCTCATCTCGGTAACTGGACAACGTTTGTCAATGCATGCCAGTACCTCTCAATGCCAAGCATATCCATGGCTCACCTTGATGAAGCCCATCAATCTTTGGAGGCTTTCTGCAGAGAGTGCGAGAAGTTGTATAAAGCCCCATTCCTTTCGCCAAACATGCATCTCCATCTTCATCTGCGAGAGACTGTACTGAACTTTGGCCCGGTTTATGGCTATTGGCTTTTTAGTTTCGAAAGATGCAATGGTATCTTGAAAAACTATGCGACAAATAGAAAAGACGGGTTTGAGGGAACCTATATGAAGAAGTATCTTGAAGAAGCATACCAGGGAGATCTTATTCGCCAAACTTTGCCAATAATTCGACCTGAGCATTTGGCGATCATCCTTGAGCTCACTGCATCCACTGCCAATTCCATAGCCACTTCCACTTCCACTGCCACCTCAATCCAATTCGATATCAATGCTTTTCTTGATTCTCCTGAGATCAACTTTGATATCGTCAAGGGAAACGAGCCTTTGCCCCCTTCCGCACTTCCTTTAGCTCTAAAGGGGGAGATTTCCATGGATGAATCCGAGTATGAGCATTTGTTGGAATACTATCGCGAGACATACGATGATCAAACTCTTGTTCATTATCGTCAGGCTGGTCATTTCAATAATTTTGTTAACAATCGGATACAGAAGTTTGAATCAATCAATCTTCTTGGGCAAATCTACAAGAGCAAAACGAAGAATCAGCGTGGGTCGTTCATGCAAGCCTTGTTTGAGACAAGTGATGGTAGAAGTACCAAGCCATACGCGGGCCAAATTGAGTACCTCTTTGTCAATACTGCTGTAAACTCGTTTGCTGGTCATGCGAGCCAGCATGTATTTGCATATGTACGATGGTACAAGGAAGTTTTACTTCAGCCCAGAGCAGGAGAAGGAGTTGAGGTGAATGAGGTGGGGTTCGAAGATGACAGCATGAACAGCATTCTCCCAGTGCATAGAATCTGCTATCCAGTCGCAGTAGGCGAGCACCTTGGTCTAGAAGGCGAAGTTCAGATGTGTGTAGTTCCTTTGCCACAAAAAATATATATTTAGATTCAAATACAAAAATAAAACACGTATAAAAAAGAAAAATTAATTAATACAGACTAATATATATAGCTGCACGTTTATTTTTTATTATTTCTATAAATTTTTGATTGTACTTGGCATGCTATACATGCATCTGTATACATCATGCTAATCCGTAAACATAAACAAGTAGAAAAAAGACTCTAAAATAGTTGGCAAGAAAAAAATGATTTATTTTGAAAAGCACCAATCTGGTAAAGTGACTGCCAAATTCTCGGGAATGCTCACTTCTTTCTCATAAGGGATGCGCTTTTTCAAGCTTTCTGAATTTTTCTTCAAACGGATAACAGTAAGTTCATCAATAGTACTAATAAACGTCTGGAGCTGGTTTAAAGAATAAATAGTATTAATAAAGTATTATTATTTTCTTTAAAACATAAATAGATGTTTAACATTACCTCATCAGTTCTCCAGCTGGGACGATATGCCTGCACTTTGTTATCTCCATCCGACTCGCCATCAGACATCACGTCAATAGAAAGAATATTTCCGCAATCATATCGATTCATGCCCTCATGAATAGCCTCTGTATATGTCTGGTACGTGATAATACGATGGTCAAGAAGCTACCAAAGAGTATTGTATTAAAACATTAAATCAATAGTAAATTAATTTTATTTTAAAACTTACGGTCTTCTTTCTGTTGCGTCTTCTTCCAGCTTTATTTCTAGCCATAATCTTCTCTGCTGAGATCCGGAAGACTCACACTTGATTTTGGTAGTGATTCTTTATTATATTCATAATGACACTCTTTGACACATTTGTGCAACATCTTTGAGGTCTCAGGTACTTGAAGAGAGCCAGTGCAAGTGTCTTGTTGTACTTGTTGCCATACGTGCCAGTCATTGACCATGCTGATCTATTATTATTCTCAGCAACTTTGAGCGGGTCTGTGCTAACAAAGTTCGGTTTCTTGATGTAACTATTGATAAGTTGCTATAAAAACAGTATCAGATATATTAATCAGTAATGTTATTATTATCAATTTACTTACAGAAATCAAGGGATGATGTTTCGCTCCAAGGTCAAGATCATCATCCATGGAAGAAGAATCCGCTGGTACAGCAGAAGGCATCACGGAATTTTGGCTGGTCATTGCCTTTTTTATTTCAGCATTTTCAGTCATGAGCTGAAGGACCGAGTTCTTCAAAAATTCATTTGTCTTGTTGGACAAATTCAGGCCATTCTTCAAATGAGTTATTGCATCAGTCACTCCTTTTGCATTTTCTTGCAAGGATTGCATCGACACATTGTTGGCTGCCAACAAGGTAAGGACGTGATCCATTGGGGTCACAGCGACTTGAACTTCAGGGGCTGTGTCAGCTGCTACTTCTGGAGTTGGTGTATCAATTGGAGCAACAACACCTGCAATTGTGCTATTAAGAACAGCATTCATGCATAGGTTGGGTCGGCGGGGAGCAGTAGGAATACGCTTTGTCATTTTCTGTTAATAAAATAAATATTAATAATTTTCAACTAATATTGTACAATTCACTACACTTGTTATATCATATTTAAAATTCACATACTAGTAAAGAGGATAAGCGGTGCAGATTAACTCTCTACCTTTCATTTGATATTTAAGCACATCTCCCAACCGCTTGATCCACATTTAGACAACTTCTTTTCTAACTCAATGAGGCACAAAGTAGTATTTCAAGATGACGGTGGTCATCTTCTTTTGGAGTATTACTTTTTACAGCCCGCATTTTGTCAGGGTCAAACTGGATTTTAAGACAAGTCTTTTTTTTTTCCTTTTTTTTTCTTTTAACAACATTTATTATTGATATTTTCTTTGTTTCTCTTTTGCTTATGTTTTTACAATTTCACTTACAATTTTCTTTCTTTCTTTTATAGCTCGATACCAAATATGTGTCTCTTTGTTTGACTATACTCTGTCTGATATATCAAGGTAAGATATTATTCTCTTAATGATCTCTGTTACTCATCATATTGTTTGTCTTGCCATTGCTACTCATTTCCATTGAGTCTCATCATCTCTTAATTGAACATGGTAAGTTTTTTTCTTAAAAAAAATTCAAATTATCCTTTTGTCGTACTCATAGATATATATTTATCTTTATTATGATTTATTAGTTATGTCTAATATTATGCACAAAGACGTATAATCAGTAATATTTGGTAAGTTAACTACAATATATTTAATAAATACGCCTTTACTACGCACAATATTAATAATTATTCATTTTTAGAATGTATCTCTATTCAAAGACTACTGGTATTGTCTTGATAATTCTGAAGAACATGTTTATATCAATTTTATGTCAAGTCTTCTCCGCCTTGTAAGTATTTATGAAGAAATTTCAATTTAAATCATTTACTAATTCTTCTTTTCTATTAATCATTTTTTAATAGCATTCCCACTATTAAAGTATGTATTCCATGTCTACTCCCGGAAGGCTTTAAATTATATATAGCGAGCAAGAAGTATTAGCGATTATAATAGCTATAGTATCAAAACTGTCGCGAAATTAGGATTTTTATCTAGAAAAGATTTTCCTATCAAATAAAACAAAATTGAACAAAAAATGTATAACCCAATGTTTTTCCAAAAAATAAATAAATAAAAGTAAAATAAATAAACAAACCAAAGAGGCTTGTTTATAAAAATCTACCCATGCTTTGTTTCTCTTTTCCATTGTAAAAAAACCTAGTTTCATCACTTTGAGCACGTATAAAAAACCAACTATCATCATTTCTTTATATTGTAAAAAACCTACAATCATCTCTTTGATAGTTTTTAAAGCATTTCTGCAGCCAATAAAAAAACCCGGTAAAAATAATAATATGGGACGCTAGCTCTTTATAGACCTCAAAATATAACACATAAAGAGGTAGACTCGATAGGAGTAAAGCGTAACTACAATATTTATTCAGTTTCCATAGTTTGCGGACTGACAATCGTTCTACATTGGGTTTTCGTGTACCTGTTGTTATGATGATACGCATCAGCACCATAGATGATATCGTACCATTGCTCAAAATGATATATCACAAAAATTGTGATGATATTGGCTCAATCATCTACATTTTTAGTACATTTGATCCAGATGAAATTACCCTATTTTTCCAGTGTAAGCAGTAAATACACTCTAATAACCAAATATAGTAAAGGAAGAAAGTCTTAAGAAACTAAGACGTAATGACAAGAGCAGATTGTGTTTTCTTATAAAAAGGGACACTTTTTATTTATGAATAAAGACAACTTATATACAGTCTCAAAGTATTTCTATACGTCTCTATTATCAAATATTTTATTTTTCTATTGTTTCATACCTGAAATACCACACGAGTATTTATTTGATATATAAATATTAATTTAATACGAAAGCTATGTTATATTCATTAACAAACCTTTCTCATTCTGTTGTAAATTTCTTCATAATTAGGCTTTCTAACGCCAACTCCCCAACTATCAATCTGTCTAAGAACTGAAATTCTTGTACTTCTACAGCTGCTGCCACTTTTCAACTGATCTTCAATAATCTTTATGGCTTCAGAAGGCAAAAGAAGAGTTCTGACTTCGTCCCAGTCTCCAGGAACATGGTTTACATGTGCTCTTATTTGGCAAAATGTAACAACATTGGGGTTGTCGAGATGCTGTATGATTTTTAAGGCAGCTGTACAAGAGCATGCCTTTGTATCTTTCTGGGCAAGACGTAATTGGCGGTTTGTTATATATTGGCCAGCACGGTGGCATTTTTTAGTCTCTCCAAAAACTAAACCTTTTCCAGAATATTTATGCTTTTTATTCCATTTTGTTGAGCATAAGACATTGATTCGCTCCAGACACTTTTTCTATTCACTAACTTTTACTAATATTGTCGAATTCAAAGGAAGCATCTTGATTCCTTCCAAAGGTGAGTTGATCAAGACTTGTTGAATGGTGGAAATATCATAAATAGTGTTGTTTATATTGTTGTTAGACATAATTGAAGTTTGTTTTTAAGAAAGAGAGAAGTGATTATTTGTTGAAAAAAAAAATGCCATGTGTGGGATGCAAAAGCCACTGTCTGTCATTAAAGTTAGAAAGCCACAGGACTAAATTAAATACTAATTCAAACTCTCCGTAGGATAAAATAAGGAGATACTACTGACATTTCTTTCATTTATGGTAATTTCTAACAGTACAGCTGTTTCTATTGGTTTAGAGTTCCAATTTTAAGTTGAACCTGTTAAGGCTCAGATTTGGGTGTACAAATTTTATATAAATGAGCCAAAAGTAGATTAGTGTAATGTTTTAAGTGTCATGATAAAATTTTAGATGGTACAAAAATCTGAAATGGGGGGGAGAAGCGAAGAGAGCTGGAAAAGAAGAGATTTTATTGGACAAACCCCATTGGGAAAAAGACTTTTTTTTTGATAAGTCATTTTTTTTAATAGATTTTTGCAATGTTCATCAACATCCACCAGAACATGCTGAATTTTGCAACGTTGAGAAACTTTTGGTTATTAGAAGACCCGACGGACAAGTGAATATCAACAGCCTGAACGATGTTGATGTCATCTTTGTTGACTTCAACCAGGCCTCCAAGGGGCAGAACCACAATGTTATTGTAATTTTCTGTTACTACAGCTGGGGTATAGATGCAATTTATATTGCTGTTCAGAACAATTTGGTACTTTTGCATAAAGAACACCTTTCTCATTCTGTCTGCAGAGTCTCTTGCTTGAACAATCTTTACCTGACCAAGGAATAATTGCCCATTTGATTGAAAAACACCTGCAAGTGTATCACACAAAGTGGGAGTCGACAACCCAGAATTGTCACTGTTGACACAAGAACCAAAGAAATGGAGATTAAAGCCTGGGAAATTGACAGGGGCCAGCTTGACAAAATCACTAATTGAACTTCTTACAGATCTTGTTCCATTACCAGCTGGTTTCTCTATGACATATGATCCTCCATTACAAAGATGCCAACAGATGAATTGCTTGCCAAATCTTGTAGCAACGTCTCAAGAGGTGGAATGGCGGTTGGTCTTGAATAAATGTTTGTGGATGAACTTATTGAACTGTTCACCGTTTTCAGTTTCGTATTGCAGCATGGAACCGAAACAAAAAATATCGTCAGTGATATGATGCAGAAGGTGGACCTTTGGCTTGAACGTGAAGTCTTGCTTAGAAAATCTTTTTGGAGAATCTGGACATCCAGTTGGAAAAGCAGATCTGTTACATCAGTGACAGCATGTTTTATCTGGGCAATATAGTAGTCAAAGCACTGGTCGACTCCGCGCATGTACACCAAAGACAACAGGCGGCCTAATGCATGCAAGGCTTTAATGAACAAACTTGCCAATGGTTTGTCACTAAAGATCTTGCTCATAATTCTAGGCAGGACTTGAATCAATTCCTTGAAATCGCGTCCAACGAACGAACCAGTGTGACAAAGCTTGTTCCTGAATGTTCAGCTGTAACTCTTACAAGACTTGTAAGAGTTTAGAGCTTCCTGGAGTCTCCCCTTTTCACTTGTAGTCAGCATCTTCTGTTTCCAGAGAAAAGTCATCAAGTATTTCGTCAGGCCATGAGGAATAATGTGGAGAATTTTGACAGGCATGTCTTTGGTAGGGTCAAAGGCTTCGAGTCTAAGAAATTCTTCACTTCCATTCTTGATATAACTCAATTTGCACCCATTGAGATATAGCTCTGACTGGATATCGGCATTGGCAAAGGCGCACAAGAAATCCCTTGTTCTTTCTTCTGACCCACAGTGGTCAACTAGAGAATACGGCGGAGTGTCAGGGATGGAACCCTGTTCAATACGAGGCGAAGGTATGAGGCATTTTTGGCAAAACTTCTTGGCAGATGTTCCCTTATGCATGGCAAGCTGAGATTGACGAGGGTTGTCACCCATAAAAAGCAACAGGGGCGCAATGACAAGAACTACTTCACCATAATCCTCAGAATACATCTCAATATCTTTCTCCAGCCTAATAAGGTCATCGACAATAGGGGGCAACATCTCAATGGCATTCAGTGTATGATTCGAGGTACAAATGAAAAGAGCATTTTCTCGTTTGTTTCTTGTCTCAAGTAGCAACGCAGCAAAGTACATTAAGTAACTGTCATACTTGTTGTACTGCTTTATTGAATTACTGGAGGTATTGTTGGAATAGAGATTAAGTGGGCAGACAACCACTTTCATCAAACCAGAGCCTGGAAGTCTTCTCTTGAATTCTTTAACACGGGATTTGCTGAGCCACTAGTCAGATTGAACACCAGTAAGAGCATAGGTAACAATTTTGGCAGGGCAATAAGAAACAGAGAAATCACGTCCGAGGAAAAGATCGCTGTCTTTTTGAACAGTAGACATAATCCTGTCAACTTCAATGGTATACTTCAGGATAGAGACAGCAAAGTTCGTAGAGTTTCCAAACCGCAGGAAATGAGTATCATCAGGATGGTTCAGCCGAGGATCGTGGCCACCATAAACCTGGAACGCATTGGCAAGTATGGATCCGTCCTTGGTGAAGAACTTCTCAAGGAGATACTGGTTCAGGGAGCCTTGGACTTCGACAACATCACCCACCCAGTAGTCTATTCCGTTTGAAGTGATCATTGGGTGCTGGAGCAATGGGTTCTCCTTCCACTTTTCGCCTTGGTCGAGATTCAACTGCTGGTTTTCCGTGAAGTCAGGAAGGGCCAAGATTTGAGATAATTTTCCAGGGCATGTCATGGTAAACATGATGTAATCAGACGGTTTGTTCATCCAAAGTACATGTCGTTCATTGTCTTGGTTCACAACATCAAAACTGGCAATAGGAAAAACAGGGATCTGGTTCTTTTTCTGCTTGTGATAGTTAATCACAGCATTTGGTGTTGGAAAATCCAGTGCTACTCCAGATTCTTCACAGACGTCCAAGACCATCTTCATAGCAAACATGATCTTCTTGATAGATCTTTCTGAGGCAAGATCTTCATCGCTGTAGAAGAGAGCATGTAAGATAAACTCTACTTTCAATTTAAATGGACGGGTGGGTCCAGTAAAAATGTCAGCTAAGTCATCAGGCCGGTACAATGTCTGTCTGCTGCTGTCTTCATTCGAGTAGGCATTCATGGCATGCGAAAGAGATTGGAAGGTTCTCATTTCTGCTGCCATTCTAGCGATATGATTCTGGCTATCATATTCTACTCTGGTGTTTGTGTCTTCATCGTCAGTGATCTCATCATAGTCATCTGATGAATCACTGTTCAGCAAAAAAAACAGGTTATTATCTATTTCAATATTGCATTACTAATTTTTACTTACGATAGAATGTGATCATCGCTATATTCGTATTCGTCAGAGATTTCATGGCCATATGTGTCCTGAGGGTTTTCAATAATAAATTCCATTGGGGCAGGTCCATTATTACTGTTCAGGTTGGTAGTGGCAGTGGTAGTGACAGTGGCAGTGCTTGCAGAAGAAGAAGGGCCATCAAACATAGCAGGTCTAATGTTAAGGTATGCTCAATTTCAGCTTTACATTACATAGTATTTTTCATCCTACTTTTAGGATTAACTTACCTTCTTTTTAGAAGTTTCTCATACTCCCCCATTTCGTTTGGATGTTTTTTTGTATAATATCTTCTGAGGTCTTGCAAGGGCCCTAACACTCTTTCAGTTTTGCAGGCAGTGCACACAAATGTTCAGTTGTCTGTAGCTGTCAGTGTGAGGAATGTGTTCCTCTTTGTTGTGAAGTGATTTTCTATGTTTAAAAATCTTTGGAACAAAAGATGTAGAAAAACGTAAGCTAATTTGAGGTACCATATCTTTATTCATGCAAAAAATAACTGCTACAAAAATTATGTGAAATAATGTGAGCTAATTTTTTTTGTTTACTTGTTTTCTTCTTTTTCCTTTTTTTTCTCATGACTGAAAGGTAAGTTTCAAGCATAATCTAACAAGATGATAGCATCCATCATACCGAACATCCTTAGTAAGTAATATATTTATTATGTTCTACTTCATATTGATACTAATATATATTTTTTATAAGATTCTATGGAGATTCCAACATGAGATTGTATTAGGAAGTTACTTCAAACTATGCCAAGCTGTCTGTTATGGTATTATAAAGTATCTACTTCTAACATAACTAAACAAGCAGTCTTTTCCTTTACTTTTGTTAATAACTTTACCCTCATCTCTTTAGGTAAGTCTTATATATCACTGTCTGTCTAGTATAAAAAGATAATTTACCATATTATTTACTTCAAAGGTCATAACACTAATACTTTGTTTCTGTTTAATAGTTGTTCTTCTTTACTTTTATCATGTCTATCTCCCAATCTATTGCATAAGAGAGACTGCTACACTAGACTAGCTACTAGTATATAGAACGCATAATCCTAGTACTATTTTTTATTGAAACCAAAATAAAAACATTTTTTTGAAACATTTTTTTTGAAACACATTTTTTGAAACCCTATAATTGCAATTATTGGACCCCCCATTTTTGAGATTTTTTGTATCCATCCTTTTTTCCATTCACAGTAAATTTGAGCGGACACTTCATATTCCGGTTTAGGAAATTTTAGTCAGGCCAACTTTAAATCTAGCTTGAACATTGAGTTTAAAAAAATCTCAGTGGGTGTGAAGGGTATTGCTTCCAAGTCCATTGCCACTCATAGACGTTCTCGTACACTTGCTACAATGGCAACACTAAACTCTGTTGGAGCTTGTCATTCTGGTTTTCTCTGCTGCTCAGTTTATGACTGTATAAGACTTTTGTTTGCCCAAAGTTTGAATATGATTTGGCAATCTCCACTCTACTGAAACAAGATATCAAAGTGCTGGAGTCCATTCAAGATAAGTGGCTTTGCATGATTGTTGGGGGGCATGCCACATCCTCTACAATTGTGTTGAAGCACATCTGCAATCTACCAAGTATGAAGTTTTGTACAGATGTTCTCATAGCCAAATTTTGTATCAGATCACGCTTTCTGCCTGCCCAGTGCCTTCTGTCCCTTTTACACCATCATCATACCATCTATTCTACACTTGTCTCCTTGGGAAAAACCAACCTTCTGTCACATCTCCCTCCAACACTCAAACTCCAAAGCCCTAGTGCAATAAAAAACCATTTTGAAAGCATTATAGAAGCTGGATTTACAACCTTTCTCCAGTCCAATACACAAGTTCTCATTCAAGCATGCCACCCAGTTCTTGGAGTTGATCCAATCTTGTTTTTGCTAGCCTCACATGTGAAACGTGGCCGTTTGATTCGTTGGAGAATGGGGTGGTTATTAGGCAAACCAAAGGAATGTCCTTGTGGATCAGATCACACCTCACGCCCCCATTTGTTGGATTGCCCACTTGTTTGTGTGGCACTATTTGAACAGTTGCCTCAACCTGACCAAGATCAGATACACAGAATTGATTTTGCCATCACATCCTTGCCTTTGTCATCTCAAGAACCACGACCTGCTTACTGGATACCACTGCTGACTATTCTCTGGGACATATATATTATATGTAATCCTGATGGTGACTATTCACATGAGACTGAACATGGTACTCTTTGGATATAATTTAGACCCTTTTCTTTTCTTTTCTAGTTCTCTACTTTTCATTTCTTTTTTCTTGCTTTGCATCTCATCTTTCTCTTTTGTTCCCCTCTGTCTGAAAAGTTCTTTGTTCTGCAATTCGGTCTCCTCCCTTTCACTGTTACAACTATTTACACAGCTGAAAAGTGGAGAGCAGGTTCAGCCATTGAAGCTAGTATGATTTATTCTTCTCTTTCACCTCTCTTTTTTGTCTTTTGTGATCCCTTGGGACTTTTTTTCTCTTCTTCTTGTACTTTGGAGGCTATATGATCTATAGATCGCCAGCAATATCTCCTTTAATAAAATATAATCTTTAACCTGAGCTACATCCCCGATCTCTCTTTCACATAAGCTACTGTTACACAAGACATAACAAAAAAGTGGGTGCATCCATACAAAAGCTTCATCAATCCATTCTACATCTTGTTCAAAACGATACATCCATTGTCAAAAACATTGCATCCATTACCACTGTTGCCTTATCTATCAGCAGAAAAAATTTCAGCCGATTCTGACAACTTTTCATTTTTGCAATCTCAAATGTCAACATTGCTGCCATCCTCTGTCATGCAGGGAATGTCACCCGATCTCGCCTCATTTCTGGGGAACATGCAGACCCAATTCATATCACTACAACAATGTACTAATGAACTTGAATCTCCTGCTGCAACTAATGCTAGATTAACTGCTCAATTAGTTAATGCGGAAAAGCTAATTACTGATCTCAGATCTCAATTAGCATCTCAGGGCAATTACCAAATTACAACAAATGCATCAACATCATCTGCACCAACCACACCCAAGGAGCCTGGCACTGAGGCTTCTACATGGGCTACAACTGCTGCTGCTGCTCACAACTCTGTTGTTGTTCCTACTGCTCTTTCTGTTCGCAAGACTCCAAGACCTCCTTCTGTTTGCCAGGTTACTGCTTCTGCTAGAATATTTGTCATTCCCACTGGTTCCAAAGGATATCAATATGTGTATATCCCACGTTCACGTTGTCTCACACATAGAGAAGTGTGTAACTCTTTGAAAACACTTGGTGTTGATACTGGCTGCATCTTGGATATCAATTTTCCTGCCAAGGATGTAGTTGGCATCCTAGTTCACAACCAGTATGCTGAGAAATTCCAGACCACTCTGACCACAGTTGCCATTGAGATCTTAGACGTGTTTGACCCTTTGGATCCCAAAAACATTGCAGATCACAAATATAAGTCTCTTTCTGATTCAGAGCTAGAAGAAGTTGCTGCTGAACTTCATTCTGATCGTTGTCTGAAGGCTCTCAAGTACCTTTGTCCTCATGTTGCTGTTTCTGTTGGTCATTTCTTTTGTGATCAAGGCTGGATCTCTAAGGAAGATATTCCTGTTCATTCTGTTTCTGGTCCTGGTGCTGATATTCATGATTTCCAATCACCATCTCGTTGTACCTCTGTTGCAATGTCTGAATGAGTGAAATCTCATTAGGACTTTGGAATGCTAATAGTCTGCAGCCTCGTGCAATTTATGATATTCTTCAACACTGTCACTCTTTACATATGCTTTTTATCACTGAAACATGACTTCTCCCCCCATCTCGTTTCCCCACTTCTTGATCCCAGATTTATCTTTATGGTTCACCTGTAGCTGGCAACTAGAGAGGTTCTATGGGTGTTTCTGTTCTTATTTCTCCATCCTGTCCTTATCCTGTCACTCAGATTCCAATGTCATCTAACTATGCTTTGGCCGTCAAGATTGGTTCCCTCAGAATTGTATGCCTGTACTTACTGCCCACTATGTCCACCCATGATGCTCTTGCAGTTCTCTCATCCATTCCTTTGACCAATGACACTATTATATGCAGCAATTTTAATTCATGTTTGGGTTCACTTACTGGTGACTATGCTACTAACACTTGAGATCTTGCTCTTTGTCAATAGTTAGAAGAATGTGCTCTTACTGTTGTCAATGGCCAGCTCTCACCATGCACATCTACATTCATTTCATTCCACCAAAACGTAGAGATAAGCAGTATTATTGATCTGCTTATCACTAATATGTCCCTCACCAATGCCACTCTCAACATTCATACCAACCTCTCACTCAACTCTGACCACCGTCTGCTTTCACTTTCATTTATATATGTCATCAATTTAACATCACATGCACTACCACCATCTTGCAAAACATGGAACCTCTCACGTCTTCAATAACCTGATGTTCTCAAACTATATGCCCACACATTTGTCACTAATTCCGTCATCCTCAAATCCACTTTGCAATCGACTTTAGAACACCCTCCTCCCTCACGTCTACCAATTGATACACTAACAGATGAATTAAACTCACTCATTTACAATTATCTTACTAGCTCAATTGGCAACCGTCCTCCCTGTCCTCCCCATTGGAAAAAATTCTGGAATTCAGTACTCCAAGCAGCTGCAGGGCACCGCAATTTCTGCTACAAGAAATGGCACCGTGTATGTGGCATAGACAGAATCCATTGGTGGGATAAGCATCTCAAAGTGCAGGCAGAATTCTGACATCAAGTTCAATTATCTAAGCGCCAATCATGGCATGCTTTTTGCAGATCACTGAAACACGACTTCTCAAAGGCAACATCCAAAATCAAGCAACTTAAATGACAATGTTAACCTCAGTGTTGTAAATGAGTATTGACTACTGCTGTAATTGAGAATAAGTCTGAAGGAAATAATATAAGGCCTCAGCTATTCCAGTCAAAGGTGTCTACCGATTACTTTATTATTTAACACACAGGTTTAGCATGCATGATAGTGATTATATTTCATATGATGATATCACCATAATATGGGATACATCAGTGGATTATTATAAGCATAATTATAACTCATAAACACATTTACTTTCGATGTTAATACTTCATTGGGACTACACACATTTATATAATTAATCATACATTAATTATCTCAAGATCACGTTGCTCTGATTAAGGCTCAGATAGGATCGATTACCTGACCCCAGTCATATAATTTTCCCAATCCAAAACAATATAAATAGCAGTAGTAGTTCAGTGTAGGAACCTGGTCAAACTTTGATACAAAATCTTTCTCAATAAACAAAACCTACACAAGTTCTCACGAATCTTCGTTCCTAATTTCAAATCTTCAATTCTTCCTCTTAAAAACTTCTTCAACTTCAACCACCACAACATTTTTTTTCGTGAACTACCATGAACCCCTCTGCTGAGAACTATCCCGCCGCCATCATCCCTGCTCATGATGAGGATGCCATGTCCGTCATGACTGAGGAGGACCTCATCGCCAGTCTGAGTGACAACATCTCCTTTGCCAGCTCCACCCCTGGACAATTTGTTGCTCCCTCTCCCCTTCGTCCCTTGGTAGCGAATGCTGCTACAACAGTCTTGTCTTTGTCAGAGAAACTTAGACTAGAACTTCAACAGCATGTGGAGGCTGTCAGCGCTGCTCACGCTATGAACGATGAGCAAGCAGCTGAATTAGCCCTTAATAAGGTCAGACGCGTCAAAGAAATGATAGATATAGAAATAGCATGCAGTCAGTACCTTTCGCCTTCTGTGAAAGTTGTAGAGAAGAGCAGTCGCACTGGAGGGTTGACTCTTAATAGAAGAGATCTTCCTAAGTTCCAGTTGGCAGACGATGTGATTAGATCCTTCCCGAATGAAGAGGTCTTTCACTCAGTAGACCACTTCCTTCGCACCTTCCAAAAGGTTATTGAGTCGTCCCTTCAGGACATTGAACTAGTTTGGAAGAGATTTTTGCCGCTCTGCTTGCCTCATAGTGACGATGGATGGGTAGAGATGGATTTGAAGAAGTGTGTAGATTGGAACGCGGCCAAGATCTGCTTTACAGCAAGACATGGATCGCGCTTGGTGACATCCCGTTCGGTAAAAGAGGTATTTACCATGGTAATGCTTCCTTCTGAGTCGATTGGAGATTACTCCAAGAAGTTCCTTCAGGCTGTGTATGATGCCGGCCTCCCCAAAAACGATGCTCGTGTTGCCGACCGCTTCCTCGCTTCCTTGACTAGGCAAGTACAGACACTCTTGCGGCTCACCATGACCAGATTGGACTTCAATGGCGAGACCAAAAGAGATTGGACTGTGGAGCAGTTGACGCAGATTGGCAGAGACATCCTTGGCGACGACAATCGCATGTATGCCGAAGCTACCCAGCTCATTCCTGGTGCCAACATGCACACTGAGAAGAGAATGGAGAAGAAGAGAATGGAGGCGTACCCTCGCAAGAAGGTGCACTCCAGCAACAACCAGCAGCACCGAATCAGTAAGCCGGAGCGTTCCTTCTTCTGCTCGCACCATGGTAAGAATACTACACATGAGTCGAGCAAATGCTTCACCCTGGCCAACAACAAGGCCAAAGTAGCTGCCCCCACCAAGCGCAACCCCTGCAGGCGGTGTGGAGAAAACTACTTCCGTGGCCACGTCTGTAAGGACAGTGAGCCAGTCCTGATGGTCTCGCAGGTCCCTGCCAAGGAGAAGTCTGAGCAAGTGCTCAAGGCGATCCAAGACAGTGTTGACTTGGAACTCGAAGACATGTCTTTCGACTGTAAGTACCTACTTGACAAAATTGAGAGAAGGGTTAAAGCCAATGATGCATTTAATCTAACCACTCCTATTATTGTAGAGAACCACAAACTACTTGGAATGATTGACACTGGCAGTGCACGCACTTTCATTAGTTTACAATGTTTGAATGAAAATTTAAATATAAATAAAATAAATTCATCAAATGGTTCCTTCACTTTCTTGTCAAAGAATAGTGGTACTAAGCGATTGGGAAAAACTGATCCTTTAAATTTTAAATATGTGAATGGAATTACGTTTAAGCATGCACCCGAGGTGTTAGAGTTTAATACAGGATTTAATTTTGATATTCTTCTTGGAAGAGATATCTTAACAAAAATGAACATCGGATTGATTAATGTTGCATACGATATCGAAGGAGAATATATTCATTCAGATAACGCTAAAGACTATGCCGCTGTGTATGAGAATCTAAATATCGATAAAGAGAAAAAGTTTGAACCGGATAATTCGCCAGCTGGTACGGAAATACAGCGAGCAGAATTTATTCAGTCAATTCAGGCCTCACTGGATGAAAATAAGAAAATCCCAGTCGAGTCCTCTTGTCCTTTATCAGAATCTCTAATTAGATTACCCACAAAAGAAGGCGCCACAGCTTATAGACGTCAATATCCTATTCCCCATGCTCTACGACCAACACTTGATAAACAAGTAAAAGAATGGCTTGAGACAGGCACGATTGTCAAGTCCAAGACCAATACTTCCTTCAACAGTCCTATGTTGCTTGTGCCTAAAAGAAACAAAGCTGGAGAGATTGTGAGTCACCGAGTTTGTCTAGATGTGCGATTATTGAATCAGATCCTACCTCCCACATTCAACTATCCAATTCCTAAAATCCAAACGATATTCCAGAATTTGAGTGGAAAGAAATTTTTCACCACATTGGATTTATCGAATGCCTACCATCGTTTCAAAGTTGCACCTGAAGATGTTCATAAATTAACATTCACTCATTTAGATGGGCAACAATATAGCTTCATTAAAGGCTGTTTTGGCTTGAAGATGCTTACATCACAATTTCAACATGTCATGGCAACTTTGTTTGATAAAATTGACTGTGTGCAGAATTTTGTTGATGATTGTATTGTGGCTAGCGAAACATTTGAGCAGCATGTTAAGGATGTAAAAATAGTGATTGATAGATTGACATCGGCGAAGTTGATTCTAAACTCTGATAAATGTGTCTGGTTTCAACATTCAGTGCGATTGCTTGGTTTTGTCGTCAATGAGACAGGCACCAAGGTTGATAAGCGAAAGTTGACAAACGTTGATAAATGGCCTATTCCTAAAACTGCGAAACAAATTCAGCAATTTATGGGTTTGATTAATTACTTCAGAGACTATATTCCCATGATCTCGAAGGTGGCTGAACCTATTTCACGATTAAGTCATGCCAACAATGTAGCTGAGCTATGGACAGATGAGCAGACAAGAAGCTTTAAAGCATTAAAGGACATACTGCATCAGGATTTAATTCTTCATTACGCAGATATGTCACGTGAAATGTATGTGGCCACAGATGCTTCCCTTTATGGAGTAGCCTGCCTGCTTTTTCAGCGCGACGATCAAGGGCGTGATAAGTATATTAGTTTTGTGTCAACTTCCCTGAGCCCATCCCAACGGCGATGGAGCACCACCAAAAGAGAATTGTATGCAGTCGTTTTGGCGCTTGATAAATTCCGTCCATTTCTATGGGGCCGACAGTTCACCATTTTTACTGATCATAAAGCACTCACTTATCTTCACACACAAAAAATTGCTAATCCCATGATAATTGGCTGGATTGAGACACTTCTTGACTTTGATTTTAAGGTGGTCCATATTCCTGGTTTGTTGAATAAACTACCAGACTTGTTGAGTCGCTTGTATCCTCCAGAGGATAGTTACAAGCTGGTGGAGGATGATGGATTGAGAAAAATCAGAACAAAACACTTGCAATCTAAAGATAAAGTTATTATTCGTAAGAAAAAGTACAGTAAGGACAAAGTGCTAAATGTACTTGCTACACAACTCATCGAAAATGTATCAGAGACTTCCGACTATATGTCGCCTCCTGAAGAAAAGCGAAATGGCTTGTTAAAAGAAGCACATTCGTTTGGTCACTTTGGTAGTCAAGCTATGGTGAATGATCTTCACTCTCAAGGATTACATTGGACTAATATATATGAAGAAGCAAAGGAGATTATTCGTTCTTGCTCTGAATGTCAGAAGCACAACATCAGCAAAAGAGGATATCACCCATTGACCAATGTTGTAGCTTTCCGACCATTTGATCATGTTGCAATTGACTTATGCGGTGAATTCCCAGTATCAGAGGATGGTCACACGTATATGCTAGTGTTAGTTGATGTTTGTTCCAAGTATATCATCTTGAGACCATTACCAAACAAAAACTCGACAACAATAGCTAAGGCATTGATAAAAATATTTGGAGATTATGGTTTTCCCAAAGTAATGCAAAGTGACAATGGGTTGGAATTTAGAAATTCTTTAATGGCAAGCCTATCGAAAGAGCTTGGTATTGATCGAAGATATTCAACGGCATATCATCCACAAGGAAATGGTATTGCTGAAGCCAGTGTGAAAGTTGCAGAGAATACTGTACGGAAAATGATGAGAGCGAACAGCAATGACTGGTGTCACTATTTACCAATTGTTCAGCTATGCATAAACAGACATATTCCTCAAAAGACACTGAGTGCACCCTTTTCACTAATGTATGCTCGCAGAGTTAATGTACCTGATGAGTATGGTGATAAAGCAAAATTCTCTCTTCCCAAAAACACGGTAACAATTGATGAATTGGAGAAGCAGATTGAATATATGGATAAAATAATATTCCCTGCCATAAACGAAAGAGTCTTGCGGATCAACGAAGAGTTAAAAAAGAAATACGATCACAAGAACATCTTAATAGACATCCCCAAAGGAACACACGTAATGGTCAGATTACCACATCGTCCAAATAAATTGGCACCAATCTATGAAGGTCCTTATACAGTGGTTCGAAGAAATAAAGGAGGATCGTATGAACTAAAGGATGAGCAAGGAGAATTGTTGCACCGAAATTACACACCCTCAGAACTCAAGATGGTTACCATCGATGAATCTACAATTGAGAATGAGCTCTATGAAGTTGAAGACATTCGCGATCATCGTGGTGCTGCTGGTGATAGAGAATATCTGGTAAAATGGGTTGGTTATGGTGAACGGGCAAACACATGGCAAATGGCTAACGATTTTACCAATCCCACAATAATACAAAAGTATTGGAAGAAGGTCAGAGAAATCGAACGTTTAGAGAATGAGAGAGCCACGGAATTAGTGAATAAGAGTGCAGCCTCATTAAAGAAAACAGTTCAAATTCCAAGACATGATGGTAAAATAAAAAGGAATCGCATCGAAGAGCACAATGGAAGTAAGCTTCCTACCGCACTGAGTAGAGAAGAAAGAATGTCCAAAAGAAGAGCAACAAAAAATTTGATAAAATAAACACGTAATCCACGGAGCTGAGTTTACAGTGCAGATCTCTTGAAGTATAAAAAAAAATTATGAGCGTAATTGACCCAAATGAAATTGAGCAATTCGACAAATTAATAAATAGTTAAGATGAGATGTTTTGCCGAATCAACAAAAGGTATTGTTGAATCTGGTGGAGGATAATGTTGTAAATGAGTATTGACTACTGCTGTAATTGAGAATAAGTCTGAAGGAAATAATATAAGGCCTCAGCTATTCCAGTCAAAGGTGTCTACCGATTACTTTATTATTTAACACACAGGTTTAGCATGCATGATAGTGATTATATTTCATATGATGATATCACCATAATATGGGATACATCAGTGGATTATTATAAGCATAATTATAACTCATAAACACATTTACTTTCGATGTTAATACTTCATCGGGACTACACACATTTATATAATTAATCATACATTAATTATCTCAAGATCACGTTGCTCTGATTAAGGCTCAGATAGGATCGATTACCTGACCCCAGTCATATAATTTTCCCAATCCAAAACAATATAAATAGCAGTAGTAGTTCAGTGTAGGAACCTGGTCAAACTTTGATACAAAATCTTTCTCAATAAACAAAACCTACACAAGTTCTCACGAATCTTCGTTCCTAATTTCAAATCTTCAATTCTTCCTCTTAAAAACTTCTTCAACTTCAACCACCACAACACTCAGCATGTGTTTCAGCACAGTGATGGACCAGCAGCAGCAGCAACAATTATGTGTGAACATCTTGCATCTGTGTGCAGTGGAAGTATCCTTCCAGATCAGCGTCCTCCTCCTTCGACTCTTCACAGTACCAGTCTGTCTTTTGCCTCTGCCAACTTGCCATTTGTTTCTTCCGTGGTAGAGAGATGCATGCAATTTATGTCTAACTGCAAGGCACCAGGCCTGGATCACATCAGTGCAGAAATGTTGAAATTCATTCGTCAACAAATTGCTCTCACACTCTCTCTCTTATTCACTATCTGTTGGCAATAGTCATATGTACCTGTTATTTGGTGTCAGGCGCAGGTCTTTCCAATTTATAAGAAGGGTGACCCCTCTCAAGCTTCAAATTATAGACCAATTTCAAAGACGTCAGTTATCAGAAAACTAATGAAAATGTGTCTTGCTCCTGTTCTGCATAAATTCTCACCACCATTAGATGTTGCTCAAGGTGGATTCCGTCCTAGACGTGGTGCACTAGATCAAGCTATCTGTTTACACGACCTTATGAAAGCCTATTTTCACTGTCATCATTATTATACAGTTGTAGCCTTCTTAGACATAAAAGCTGCCTATGATACAGTAGATTGCAGAATCATTTGGAATGCTCTTGCTCGACGCCAAACACCACCTGCTTTGCTTGGACTTCTTATCAATATATTTGATGATATCTCTATATCCGTTCTTTTTGACAACTTTTCTTCTCATGCATTTACCCCAACCACAGGCATTCTTCAAGGTTCAGTTCTCAGTCCGCATTTATATTCCATTTACATCAACTTCCTGCCGCCTTTACTTTGCACAGTTGCATCATCTGTCACCTCTATGCATGTTCCATATGCTTCTCCTTCCTCTTTGGATGCATACGACTCTCTTCTTGCTCTATCAGATATGAACAGATTTGGACATTCTCACTCACCAACAGCAATCAATAGTCTTCTGTTTGCTGATGATGTTGCCATATTTAGGTCCTCTACTGATGTCCAGCTCATGCTTGATCTTGCTGCTCAACATTCTTTTCAGCTTGGCTATTATTGGAATCCTTCTAAATGTGCCATCATTTATTGACCATCATATTCACTAACCCATATAAACTTAACAATATATGATGAAGGCGTTCCTGCAGTTCCAGAATTTATTTACTTGGGTGTTCTATTTCATAACAAAAGAATATATCAAGATTCAATTATGTCTTATCATCGTTCTGGTGCTATTTCTACAATGGCAACACTTAATCCTGTTGGTGCATATCATTCTGTATTTTTCTTGCTCCTCAGTTCCAGACTATACAAGACTTTTGTGTGCCCAAAGTTTGAGTATGGCCTTGCAATCTCTGTTCTGTGCAAAAAAGGGTTGAATGAAGGTTTATGGGGTTTTTAAAGCCAGATTTAAACTACAGATATGGATAATATCTCTATGAGTTTTCAAAATCAGATTAATGTTCTTAAGCTAAAAATCAGTCATTTTTTGTGTTCTATATATCTGTGTTTTAATATCTTGTTTTTTAAACTACTCTGCGAATATTTGTTCTATAATAAGGGCAAAACCGGATTTGGATAGCCTGAATTTTGTAGATATTAATCAATAGTCGTCACATTTTGGTACTGTTTTTTGTTGTGAAGATAATGCAGTTTCAAAGTTTATATAAGAAAGGTAACAAATATGCTTTTAAATTACGGTCAATTAATTTTATATTTTAAATATTTTTGATTACAAATACTTGTGGTTCCCTTGTTACAGTTACAGTTCACTGATGCGGAGACTCTGGTTCGATTCTGTCTGGATGCATTTTGCACTCTGTATTTTTTATTTGATTTTTTTTAAGATATAAATCTTATCCTATATCTATTATTAGATGTTGAATGATATTATTCTTTTGATATATCTGAATTAAAATGTATTTATGTGTCAGAGTTGACATTGGTGAACAAAAGCGGTAGTTATAAGCAACCAGTAAGAGTTGACTTTTTAGAATAAAAGATCTTGACTTTGCCGATTCGTCTTTCATATATGTTTTAGATGTTTAAGATGGTGAATATACTTGAAGATATTACTGGACAACAGGCATCTAAGACATATTATCGTAGCTATTCTTTTAGCCAGAAATCAATTATCATTTTATATAAATAGTCAAGAAATATATTTAATAAAAAGCATCTTTATTCTTATCTAAAAACTATTCATAAACTTGACGATCCCCAGTGGTATCGATTCTGCGACTTAGTTACAAGTGCCAGAAAAGAAATACCAGATCGAGACTTGACATATGTTTTGTTTTTATATTATTGTTTTAATATTATTAAAACAAATTAATTTAAATCCAAATTTCTTATATTTTTTTATTAAACCATTGTAGAATCAGTATATTCTTCATCTTCATCATCTTCTAAATATTCATAATTTGTATATATTGGATTGTCAACAATGCTTCCAAAAGAAACCTCAGCTAACTTTTTTAGCATTCCTTGCCACAATCTGTTCTCATATTTTTTTCTCTATATGAATTCTATCAACATCCATGGCACCATTTGTTTTGTTCGCAATCTGGTCTTGCAGTTCATTTTTATTCCATTCCGCAGACCTATGTAATAAAAGTTAATAAAATAATTTTATCTTTTATAGTATTTTACCTTCTATAGTATTGATATGAATACCATCAGATATAACATACTCAACATTGTGATTGACTGTCACTGCAAAAAAATGCCCAATTCCCATACGTGATGGGATGTAAAATTCGGTGGACAGAGAACCTGAATTTGTAGTGCAGAATTTTTTTTTGTAGAATAAGCATTGCAATTTTTTTAAAACGATTCTATTGGTCATAGAGCACCGAGTAGCATAAAAAAATACAATAATAAACTTAAATTGAATGAAATAAACTGTACCTGAATATATATTTATCTTCTTTACTGTTTAAAAAATAATATTATTTTAATAATTATTAAGCAATGGCACCAACCCGTAAATCAAACAAAACAAAAGAATGCAAATGTTCTGTTTGCAAGACAAGATTTAGAGGATCAGATACAGTGTCTGTACAGACATTTAATTTTCATAAAAGAAGAGACGATGCTGGAATGAACATCTTTCGTAATAGATGTAGGGAATTTTCTTTTATGTTTTAATTATATTTATATTTATATTTTCGATTTAATAACATATGTAATGTAGTGATTATTAAGAGATCAGTCGAAACTACTGTAAGCTATGTTCCTGAAGTTATCAACAATGATGAACAGAACTCGGTGGCCATAGACAATGATTATGATATGGATTATGACTTTGATGGTAAAAATATATATTTTTATTTTTATTTTTATTTGCTCTAACTTCTTTTATGGTTCCGGTAGAAATGGACACCAGTATAGAAATAGATATGGAGACACAAGAGCCTATTCGAGTCTTACCTCTCTCAGAATCCGATGCTGTCTTTGGTTATGAGAATGAAGAGTTTAACTCTGATCTTGATTCTGACGGTTGCAAAGACGATTCCAGTGAGGATGACATGCTTGATAGTGAAGGTTTGCACACTTTCATAATGGATATTGGGTTCTGCTGTATAAAATAATAGAAATTAATTTTTTTTAAAAAAGACAACTTTCCTGAATTCAACTCAGAATTGAGTTTCATCCATCGTTTTATAGTACAGGTCCTTGCACTATTTGTATCCTTGTACGTCGTCGATGAAGGCGCCATTCTTCTCATTGCCATCATGAACAAAATACTCGAGCTTTTCAGAGATCCATTCTGTCTCCCAGTTAGCATCCCTGGTCTCAAAAGCATGGCAGGATTCAATACCTTTACAGACGGTATAAAGAAATATGTTTCTTGTAGCGAATGTCACAGCATATATGAGAACAATGAATCAACACCCCGCTTCTGTATCTTTGATAAATTTGGGAATAACTCAATGTGCGGTAATAGTTTGTTCAAGTCAAAAAATCAGTCGTCCATTCCAAAAAGAACATATGTGTATCACTCTGTTCAGAATTCGATCAAAGCTCTCTTTTCTCGGCCTGATTTTGAAACCCAAATCGACTTGTGGAACCGTAGCCCGAAGGCTGAGAATACTATGTTCGATGTGTACGATGGCTTGATGTGGAAGGATTTGAAAGACACCAATGGAATTCCCTTTGTTCATGGCAACCGCTCACTGATGTTGACCTTAAACATTGACTGGTTCCAGCCGTTCGACGGTGTGACATATTCGTGTGGTGCAATTTACCTGGCTGTAAACAATCTTCCTCGAAGTGTAAGATTCAAGAAAGAAAATGTCATTCTTGTTGGGTTAATGCCAGGTCCGAAAGAAGCAAAAACATCCGAGATAAATTCGTACCTCAGACCTCTGGTTGACGAATTAGAAAAGTTGTACAAGGGAGTCAGAGTCCAGACATATCAATGCCCAAATAGTACTACCATCCGCGCTGCTCTGTTTATGGTTGCCTGCGACATCCCTGCTGCCCGAAAAGTGTGTGGATTCACGTCCCATACCAGTACAAATGCATGCCACAAATGTAATTGCCAATTCTCCCGATTAGCTGGAACGAGCTCTGTCGATTATTCTGGATTTGATTTCTCAAAGTGGCTCCTTCGCACCAAGACTGATAATTGTAAGGATGCTGACGTCTGGAGGAATGCAACCACTAAAGCTGAGAGACATCGTCTTGAAGTTGAAAATGGTATTCGCTGGTCCGAACTGCATCGTCTCCAGTACTTTGACGTTGTCCACTGCACGATCATTGATCCAATGCACAATCTCTTCTTAGGCACAGCCAAGAGGATGATGGAGAAATGGGTTGCAGATGGTCTAATTGACAATAAAAAACTCGTTGCCATGCAGAAAATCGTTGAAAACATGACATTGCCGCCTGATTACACCATGCTAAGATCAAAGATTTCAAAGGAATTTCCCTTTATGAAGGCAGACGAGTGGAAATCGTGGTGTCTGGTATACTCTCCAGTGGTTCTACAAGGCGTACTACCAAAGCAAAAGTTTGAGAATTGGATGTTTTTTGTGAATGCCTGCCGTTTCCTTACCAAGCCAAATGTTTCCGAAGATGATGTACAGTCAGCACACATAGCACTTGAGAAGTTCAGTAAAGGTTGTGAAAGGCTGTATAGCAAGGATCTGTTATCTCCAAACATGCATCTCCATCTTCATCTTCGCGACACAATCAAGGACTTTGGGCCTGTTTATGGGTACTGGCTCTTTAGTTTTGAGCGATACAACAGCGTCCTAAAGAATATCAATACCAACAGAAGGAGTGGCTTTGAAATGACATACATGAAAACATTCATTGAAGATACCTGTAAAGGCGATTTTGTTCGCAATTTCTTGAAGACATCTGGTCCATTCAATTTCTCCGGCATCTTCGATAAATTGGTAACTGGTTATAGTCCTGCTGATTCTACAACTAGCACCGCCTTGTACAATTGGTTCTCTCTACCAGACTTTCTTGATGCTGCCGAAAATCCGAACTTGTCAATTCGTGGTAATGAGCCTTTGCCGCCATCAGCGCTGCCCTTGCAAAAAAAAAGCGTATGAGATGATGCCAAGACAGGAGTATGATTGTTTGGTAGGATATTACCAAGCTGTTTACAACGATCCCACCATCTCCAGTTGCAAAGACATGATTCAAGATACAGCTTTCGTCAATGACTGGATCGAAATGCTCAAATCCGTCAACCTCCTTGGACAGACATTCAAGGGAAGTAGAGGTACGAATGGAAGAGGATCATATATACAAGCAATGTTCATAGAAGGTCGAAACGGAGCAAAGTATGCGTATGTCAGAGAGATTCAGTACCTATTTGTTCATTCATTTAGTCCACTTGTTTCTACTCCACATCACAGAACACCTCAAAGTAGCCAACATACATTTGCTTATGTAAAATGGTACAAGGCTTCCAAGGAGACAAGTAGAAAAATTGCAGGCGTAGAAATATGGGATGTCGCGTTTTCTTTGCCTGACTTTCAAAGCATCTTGCCAGTGCACCGAATTCTCCTTCCTGTTGCAATTGTTGACCATACAACATTACGAAATATCAGCAAAAAACTTATTGTTCCTTTGCCTAGAAAACTTTACTTTTAAAATATATAATTATCCCTTCTTTTCTTTCTAATAATATTATTCAATTTTTTTAATATGACAGTGAAAAAAAAAGAGAGCAAATTGTTTGTTTTTATTGGTTTTGCATTGCCCAGACAGGAAGGATCGCAGTCAGGTGACCGGGGACAGGAGTGACTGCAATGGTTTTTAGGTATCTGGACATTCTTTGCTTTGATTGTGGTGTTGCAATCTTCTTGTCATTCTCTGCTGCCAAGAAATCAATGAACTGAATAAGCCTATTCAGCTATGTATAATTAGTTAGTTTATTTCTGTACAGTCATCTTTTTATAGAAATATATTATAGTGTACACCTTTAAAAAAAATTATCTCAGCACTTCTCCAACTAGGACGAGCAACCTGCAAAACCCGCACACGGATTATAGGAGTGACGTCCTCATCTTCCGATTCACCATCAGACATCACACTCTTCTCGAGGAGATGCAAGTATGCCATCTCATCAGGGTTACCTGGCTTGTATCCCATCTTAGTGTCAATTGCTAGCCAATTGTTAATGTAGGTATCAACACGACGCAAGTGAATCTAGATATATTTTAAAATGATTAGAACAGAATGCAAAATATTTAATTTCTTTTTTTTGTTTGTAATTTTACCTCAATGTGACAGCTGTTGATACGATTATTGCGCCTTTTGGAAGACGCTTGCTCGGGGGTTGCGTTGACAGCACGAAAACATGTCTTGTAATTGTTTTTTATTTTCTGCACTATCATATCCTCCCAGAACCCAGCTGTGTGAGGCTGGGCAACGATATACTGTCAGAGGTAATTAATCACCTCAACATTGTCAGGATGATCGATCCTCTCATCCGTGTTCCATCGCCTGCGGCTTTCGTTTTCAGCAACAAGCTCAGGATCATTCGAACGGAAGTTTCTCGCCCACATTCTCCCATTGATGAGATTCTATATTATTATTATTATTATTATTTAGGTAGTGTGTTAAAGCATGAAGTCAGAAAAAATCATACCAGAACAATTGCACACATTTCGCCTTTGGTGTGTCTATTTGTAGACACATTGGTGGCAGTTACTCCCTGAGTTACAGAAGATGCAACAAGAGCTTGCTGGGCAATGGCTTGGTTGTGAGCATTGACCAGAAAACGAATTCCAGTGTTGGCTTCGACAGTACGATCGTACATCATGTTGATGGCTGCCATAACCTGCGTTAGGGACTCGACAGTCATTCCAGGAGCCTCTGCCCCACTTGGACCAGCTGCAAGTGGCGATACTCTTGGAGCAATCTCACGTTGCTCAATCCAGCCGGCAGCAACACGGTTAAGTGTTCCTCGGGCATTCTGTTTGCCTTTGCGTCCTGATTTTCTAGTGGCATTGGAAGGCATGCTACAGATATTTACATATTTTTTAAAAAATAAATAAATATAAATAAATAAAGCATATATAGAAGAATATTATGAAATATTATTTTAATTATACAAACATACATGGTAAAGCACAGTAATAGTATGTGAGGTTTCTAATAAAATGTGAGGGAGGATATAATAATCTGGCAAATAGAAGTAGTATTTATATGTCCCAATACTTCTTGGGTGTACAGCAACAAAAGAAAAAATTATAGGGACACACGTTTTAAATTATAATAGACCCTAATAAATTCTGAGAACAGAATGAGCTTATTCACTACTCTTACAATTTGTTTTTTTATTTTTCTTTTTTTTTATTTTCTTTTTTTTTGTTCTCTCTCTTTCTCTTATACTGTTTACTTTTGCTTCTTTTTCTACACTATGGTAAATACTTAATATTTTCTTTTTACTTTATTTTACATGATTATTAACACTAAAAAACGTCTATCGTCTTTATTATGTAGGGCTTCCTGCACGAGTTAACATAACACACTGGCTTACAAAGGTGAATAAGAAAGCAAACAACTTTTATTGTGCGATGCTAATCATCAGCTTATTAATCTTTAGATGTAAAACGATGATGATGACAACCATCAAAAGCTAATGATGGAAATAAACATGGTAAGCTTTAATAGAATATCTTCTAATCACTTATATTAACGTTATACTTTCTTCATTATCATTTTGAATTTATTAGATTTTCTCTATCTCTCTTTTGCACGCACGCATTAAAAGGATGCCAAAGAATCACTTTTTCTGGTAAGCAAGACTTTATAATTATTATTCTCTCATACTAATCATATTTTTTTCCCTTTCTATTAGGAATACTTGGAGTACACCAACAATTATATAAATGCTATCCGTAGCAATATGATTCTCTATTTCCAAAGAATAAATCTGGTCTGTACACACATGTTTTGAAAATGACAAAATCGATTTTGGTCATCCCAAGATTCTGCCCCTTCCCTTAATATTCAAAGAGGTATTGCAGTATTCCCATTTATTTATCCCGAAAGGTAAGAGATATTATTAATGATCAAAGTAGAATCGCAGTACCCAAAATCAAGAACCCAAAACCGAGAATGCAAAACAAAGACCCAATGTCAAATGTCTGGATCAAATGCCCAGACCAAATGCCAACTATCCAAGGCCGATTATTAGAGAACCTATTTTGAGATTTTTTTAATAAAATAAAATAAAAACCCATTTGTAAACTATTTCCCGTGAACTATTTTTAAATAAAAGTACAAGAAGTATATTTTTTGATCAATCAAATAATGAAATTCAAATTGTAAATGGAGTACCCATCCAATAAGATTGATACTTGCCAGAAGATAGTTGAGCTATCATCAGAAGATTGTTGAAATATACACCTTCTTGAATGAGTCCAAAACAAGAATAAATAGGCAATACACAAAATAAATGTAATGTTTTACTGGAAAAAAAAAACTCAGAATTCAATTAAGGTTTCGGATATAATGAGATATAACAGAACTCTATGACCGCGCACAGACCCATTCTATCCATAGAATCTAGGTGTTGAATATTTAGTAGCTAGTTTTCCTATCATTCTGAGAATTGTTGTATAATATTCGGAATGTATTTCAAAAATCACACAGAATTTTACATCCTATCACGTATGGGAATCGGGCATTTTTTTGCAGTGTGTTCTATGAGTATAATTCATATCAACCACTGATGCCAATCCCCCATATACAGCCTAGCAATCTGTGTGAATAATGCTATTGGGCTTTACATACTTCTTTATCACTTGAAGAAGAGTTGTAGCATCTCTGTGAGGAACTGTCACCAAAAATGTTTTTCATTCTGCTGTTTTCTCAATACCTCCCAGAACCCAAACACCTTCTACTTGATGTCCTCGGTGATATTTCTTCTTTTCAAATTTGCTTTCATCAATTTCAACAATAATTGATTGACCATTGGCATCAATACCTCCTATAAAAATATTTAATATATCTATATATAATTTACTCTTATAAACTTATCAATTATCATATCATTGTTTGTTAAATCCATTTGAATCAATTGGTGAATACTAGCAATGAGATATCTTATAGTTTCTGGAGAAACACCAAGAATAACTTCTATTGTCATTCTAGGAATCCAGTTTAATCAGTAATATACAGACCCATACAATAAATGAAAGAAAAAAGTTTTAACTCAACTAAATAGAACATCTTTAATGCAAAGTTATTGTGCTTTTTTTAAAAAGTCTTCTCATTCAAATCTCATACACTGGAAAAAAGTAGAAAAATACTGACGTGTATATATGGGCAAACGGTACTGGAATAACGTGATTTATCATAGTTGATATTTTTTTCCACTAGGTTTTAAGGTCATCTAGCACTGTATGTGCGAGACTTACAAACACTACAGTATATGTAGATGGGGGGTTCCGCAAGTAAGGTTTGGTAGCACTTTTGATATACTCGTTATGCTTAATAAATAAATAAAAATATTTAAAACTACGGATTTATCTCAGTATTCTTGACACAGAACAGGAAAGGTCAAAGACGGATTACATCATGTATATTGCTCCAATGGTTTATCTGTACTACACCTCACCTTTACTGACCACCTTTACTGACCACCTATACTGACAGTTCTTTAAAACCTCCAATCATCAACAGCATAAAAACACGTCTTTAAAATTATGGACCAGTAATATGTTCTTTATTTATTTGGTTTCCCGTTCTTGTTAGGTTGGTAATGGTTTACGCTTTTATTTTTATTGGAAAGAATAGAATGTTTCTAGGTTTCAAATCTAATAAAGCTATTCTATATCCTCAGCTACTTCTTGCTCGGCAAGCTTGTTATATTTGGGATGAAAAATTTTCTACAAAAAACAAATACCTGAAGAAAATGAGGTGCTCGTTACCTTTTTTTAGGGGTAAGAGCAGTACTCTTTGAGAATAGATAAAACATTAGTGATGGGAGTGCGTGCGTGTTTTATACTGCAAATTTTATGGACTAATTAATACTTACATTGGAAGTACCCAGTACAAATGGACAAAGAAATAAAACATTTACAGTAAAGCACGGGATTATGATTTCTTTGACTATAAAACGATAGGAAAGAATTAATTTTTGTGAATTGCGTGATAGAATAATTGATTTACATACCAAAGGCAAAGGATTTCTTTGCAGACCAAGATATTATCTGTAAAGTGGTAATATCGTCTCTAGTAGAGAATATACATTAATATACAGTATAAATAATATTATTGTATTTATAGAAGTAAATAAAAGGCTTACCATGGCAATGACGGTAGCATGGGATGGAAGTTCTTGAGGAATGGCACGTTCGTAAGAGGGATGTTCATCTATAATAGAAATTATATTCAGTTAGATAAATATTAAAAAGAAATAGATTAAAATAAAATAGAATATTACCATGTCAATATCCGTGTTTGATTGTAGAGAGTATTTTTGGCGATGTGGCCTATATTAAAGAAAGAAAAAAGTCAGAATGATTGTATGGAATGATGGCATAAAGTATATTTACTAACCCTGGCTAATCCGGATGACTGTTGTGAAGATGGCGCATCAGAATGAGACAAAGAGTGAGTTTCTATGACATTAAAATATATTGTTATTTTTTAGTTATACATAAAGAAGTATATATTTCTTTTAAAACAAAGAAAGTGCCTTACCATAAAACCTTGCGAGTGTAAAGAGTGAAGAGAGAGAAACAGATAGAATACCTATGACAGACAAAAAAATTAATTCTTTTGTTCTTTGTAAAGAAGTATTTTGAACCAAAAACAATCTTACCAGAAAAATTTGCAAATATAACAAGAATTGAAAAGAGAGAGAAAAGAGGGAAATAACAAAAAACGAATAAAAAAAGTAAAAAAAAAAATCTTAAAAAAAAAAGAAAAAAGTGTGTTTAAAACAAAAGACTAAAATGATTTCATCAAGTCCCAAAGCAATATGAAAACCGATTTACATCCCAGTCATTACAAGAAGTATTAATAGAGATTCGTATATCAAATATATTTTGAATATATATAATAATCATACCTTTCATATAATACACTTTCCCTTGCTCTTACTCTCTTGCTACTTACTACACTTATACTCCCAAATCAATACACTTGTTCTAACAATTCAAGTATGTAAACTTGATACGATTTATTTTTAATTAAATTTACATAAATTTAATTGTAGAATGACAGCAATAATAATAATATAATCTGAAACTAATCATTATAACCTTTCATTTTATTATATTCTGTAGACAATGACTAACACAAGACGTGAACGCGCAATTGCCCTTCGTCCTGTTGAGATTACCAATCAGCAGCTTATGGAAATACTTTCTACTGTGAGAGCTGATATGTCTACCGTAAAAGGACAGATCGGCAATGTTGAGCAAACTCTGACCAACATGAATGGCAGAATTGGCGTTCTTGCCACCACCAGCACCAACACCATCAGTGCCATAGATAGTTTGGCCAGAACTCCCCTTGCTGCTCCTGTGAGAGCCGAACTCACTGTTGCTGCACCTGTTGTCATCTCTAACCATGAGCCTACCCGTGAAGAATCTAATGCAGTTTATGTGAGTAACATATTATAAAATATTTTATCAATTCATTTTCTCATGATTTATTTATCAGGCTCATATTCACAACCTTATGTGGAAACCCAAGCTTAGCTTGAGAACGCCAGAAAATATCCTGGCCAACAACCTCAAGCCCAGATGGGATACAAATGTTGCTTTCAACAAATCTCCCAACAGGGAGATAGCCGAGAGACTTCTTTCTAACCTTGAGCGCAGGTTTGGTTCCTCTAGTATGAGACGGAGTGACCTCCGAAAGAGGTTGCACACCAACTTCACTAGTAGAACCCGTCGTGAGAGAATGTCTGATGATGAGATAGCAGAAACAAACGCTCTTACACGAAGAGCAGCCCGTGCAGATGATGTGAGTATTATGCTAATATATATAGTTTATAGTTGAAAATTAAAAATAAAAATAACAAATTAACAAAACTTATTACTAGAATGAGTGTCGCCGTGTACTGGCCTACAAAGACAATAAGGAGGCAATTGATCTTGTAATGCTCAGAGACTGTGCCAACACTCTCCAAAAAGCAGTAATGTCAGATGGAGAGTCTGCCGATGAAATGGACGAGGATGGCATAAAACATGTCATTCATATTGTACAACCAGGCTGGAGAAGCGATGAGGTAGATTAATTTGGAGTAATACGTTTGTATTGGTGTATTATTATATTGAGTGAATTATTAACGAATGTATTTCAGTGCAACCGTTTCATTGCACTTGTTGACACTTATGCTGTCCAGGCCATGGGGTCAAGTGCTAATCAAAGGATCCGTAGGATCACTACTAGTGTGTCCAACTCAGCAGTCCCGGATAACATTAGCCCCAATTTTCCTCGGTGGGCTCTTAGAGACGGGCTCTAAATAAAAAAAAATGTTTCTCTCTTTTTATCTACGTATTACTTTTTACATACACAATACTATCAATATATATAGGGAATTTGTTCTGTTTTTTTTTGTATAAGAAAAGGAAATTCAAGTGGGGGTTTTTTTTTATTTTAAGCATAAAGCTTTTTTGGCAAAGCAATTACTAACATCTTACTAACATTTCTACTTGTAGTAATCCTGGCTGTAGCAATCTCTAAAAAGATGCGGTGCACAGGTACAATGCAATGGCGACTATCGGGGGAGAAGGTGGGGAGACAAAACTCAAGACCGTCATCCTCACGCAATCTATCAGAGGAAGTATTAAACCACTTGATATATGCGAATACATGTTGATGATCATGAACCATGCGAGTCAGGTGGAGATTGCTGTTAGAAGGGTGTGTAAAGGAGTGTGTGAAGAGATACTGTATTTGTCCAGCATAGGCTAGGGTATTTCTACCGTCACTACCAACAAACATTACGTGGACAAGAGAACCACAACTAGCTGAACCGTTTTTACCACGGTACTGTTGACCAAGTAAGTCAATGAACTTCAACTTTGTGATTTCATTGTCAACAAAGGAGTTTGTGAGCGTGGCATATTGGTAACTGACAAGGTCGGGAAGATCATAGGATGTTTTGTAGTGCTGAAGCAGATGGGCATAGTCGGTTTCATCCATCAGTGATGATTTTTTTAGCTGAAGAGGAAAAGTCGAAGGAGGGAGAGGTTCGTTACCCTTTGGAGGAAGATGTGGGTTGGACGATGCTAGTAAGAATGATTGCAATCGGAATGGACGGGAGGAGAGAGTAATGACTGTGGTGGTAGGTGTGAATTTCGGAGAAAGCTTTGAGAGAATGTTGAAAAAGGGGACGTGGCTAGAACTTTTCAGAACAGCATTGGCATAGTCACCCTTGAATGCGTTTTGAACAAAACTTCTCATATATGTTGCCTCAAAACTATCTTTTCCGTTTGTCTTTATATGCTTCAACAGGCCATTGTATCTCTCAAACCCAAAGAGCCAGTAACCGTACACGGGTCCAAAATCACGAATGGTCTCGTGAAGGTGGAGGTGCAGGTGCATGTTGCAGGTGAGGATGGTGGGAGTGTAGAGTTTGGTAGCCTTTTTGCAAAACATTTCCAGATAGTTGTGGGCGCTGTTCACTTCATCAAATGTGATGCTTGGCTTGATAAGATAGCGGCATGCACGGACGAAATTCATCCAGTTGTTGTACATTTCAAATGGTAGAACACCATGCAGCAGAACAGGAGAATACACCAGTACCCAGGATTTCCAGTCGTCGGCTTTCATGTAAGGAAAGCCTTTTCCAATCTTCGATGTCAGCTTTGTATAATCCCTCGGAAGAACCATTGTCTCTGCGATTTTTTCCATGGCAGCAAACTCTTTGGCTCCAATCGTTTTCTTATCGACCCACCGGTCCATCATTCTCTTGGGCGTCCCCAGGAATAAATTATGCATGGGATCAATGATCGTTCCACGTACTAGATCAAAGTATCCAAGGCGTTGCAACTGCGACCATCGAACACCATATTCGACCTCCAGCTGGTGCCTTTCTGAGGGTGTACTCGCACTCTTCCACTCCTCAGCATGCAACCTGTTCTCTACACCGCTACGAATATTCCAAAGCGAATAATCGAATCCACT